ACTGGTATCTGTGATGCTGGGGACCACTGGAGGAGGTCGAGATGGAGCATCCACTTGGCACTTCTGGCTGAAGATTGCTGCGAATGCTTCAGCCTTATCTTTTGCACTGATGTGCTGGGCTCTTCCATCATTGAGGATGGGGATATCTGTGGATCCTCCTCCTCCAGTGAGTTGTTTAATTGTCCACCACCATTCACAACTGCATGTGGCAGGACTGCAGAACTTAGATCTGATCCGTTGGTTGTGGGATCGCTTAGCTCTGTCTATCACTTGCTGTTTTTGCTGTTTGGCTTGTAAGTAGTCCTGTTTGGTGGCTTCACTTGGTTGATACCTCATCTACAGGTATGCCTGGTGCTGCTCCTGGCATGCCCTCCTGCACTCTCCATTGAACCAGGGATGACCCCCTGGCTTGATGGTAATGGTTGAGTGGGGGATATGCCGGGCCATGAGGTTACAGATTGTGCTGGAGTATAATTCTGCTGCTGTTGATGGCCCACAGTGTCTCATGGATGCCCAGTCTTGAGTTGCGAGATCTGTGCGAAGTCTGTCCCATTTAGCACGGTGATAGTGCCACACAACACAATGGAGGTTGTTCTCAATGTGAAGGTGTGGCTTTGTCTGCAGATGCCTTACAAGTCATCTGGCCTCTCAAATGAAGAAGGAACATTACAGTTCTCCAGGATATATGCATCATGGCAACTCCCAGGTTCCCTGGTGCAGACTCAAGTAAGCAGCATCATTAAAAAAAAAATCAATTCAGGCAGACTTCAAAAAAGAATGGACCAGATTAGCAAGGAAGGGGCAGAAGGACTGATGATCAGATGAACCAAAAGTGGCAGGACAAGATAAGAACTTCTACACCAAAAACCACAGTGACCTCCAAAGGAAGTAGAAGATATGTTTTAAAAGATGTTTGAACGGTGTTGGGGGCGTAAATATGATTTGGTGGGGCAAAAACCAGCAGCAGCATCAGAATTTGAGTAGCTGTCAAGGATGATTCTCTGAATCGCACCCAAAATTTTCCTCTGAATAAACTAACATGTCGACTGTAAATTTATTGGATTTTAGCAGCAATTCGAGCAGACAGAATCAACAAATTAGCATGGTTACATACTGGACCACAGAGGAATACAGTGAAACACTCAGATGCTATGCATTTGATATGTTGCTCTGTATTTGAAAGTAACTTTTAATAGCTTCAATCCATGCCCCACTGCTATTGTGACAGAAGGATCCTCTGCTGAGCATGGGATTGGACCAACTCCACTGGTTTTCTCAGCTTCAGCTATCGCCAAGCTCCCCCTGTCAAAATTACTGTATTCTGGAGAGAAGTACATCTCTGCTCTTCCAGCCTGAATGTTCATGTCCACTTTTCTGGCCTGCAGTTGATTCTACACACCTCCTGGATCTTCATTCCAACAGGAATTCCTCTATCCATGTCCACCATACAGCCTTCCAAAACATGGACCGGAGTGGCAAACTGTCTCTCATTTTCATGTGAATGTTAAGTAGTTTCCCTCACTGTCCTGAACCCTGATGTGACTTTTGCCTCCAGCAAGATTTTGTTTTCCCCTTGATGCAGCAATACCTATTTTATCCAGATAACATAAGAAACTAGGTACGGTATTGAAGATGCAAGCAGACACTTATTATAGTTAACTTCCATACAAACATGACATTCCTCAGACATACAGTGCTTGGGCTAATGACAAGATAATGGAATACAACCGAGGAGCATACTTCTTGTAGTGTGTCATGCTTTAAGTGATCTGAGGTAAGATGGAATGTAAGATATTTATACCCTTAGCTACATTAATGGGATCATACAATGATCATGTCATGAGCATGTTTCTAGAAGTATGTCACCATAGTTTCCATGATACTTAACACATGTTGCTTACTGTTTCCTCCCAGGAAATTTGTCCCGTCTTTCTGAAGTTATTTGTACAGCTGCATTCCTATTGTCAGCCACAAGGTGGTATTGGATTGGAGTCACTAGACAAGCACAGAGTAGCATGGAGTTTGTGCAGCTCACTCCTCCCTCCTCCTCCCAGATACAGATATGATTCCCCCGTCCCTGCTCCTCAAACCCCACCAGTCTGTATATTCAATTATTCACTTCCTGTCATTTCTACCATATTCAATGTGATGTCACCACCAAACCCATCCTCTATCATAGACCATTCCCAGCCTGACACCCTGGTCCCTCCTCAAACACATGTTACATGCCATCCCACAGCACCTTCCAATGTAATCGCAGGAAATACAAAACCTGAGCTTTGATTATCTTTGCACTGTCCAATGCTCCACTTTGTGGCTGACAATAAAGAACAGATTTACTTGTACATCTCTCAATTCTGTATTCACTGCTGACAAAGTGGTTTGATCTTTATTTGGGAGACCAAATGCATTTTCAGTGAGTGCCTTGTGGAATCCCTCCTGTCAGTCCACAAGCATGACCCCAAGCTTCCAGTTGCTTGCTTTTTTTAAATTCAGTCCCTGGCTCTCACACACAAGGTCTGTCCTTGGCCTGTTGCACTAGCTTCAGGAAGACTACCATCTCATCATCTTCTGTAGGCTCTTTATGTCCTCTGAAGTCAATGAGTTTAACAATTTCAGACTGGTGTACTCTGTTTTCCGTTTTGATTTCCTTACTGCCACATGATGATTTGAATCTTGTTTATCATCATTTGTTTTAGGACAGAGTTTTACATTTTACGAAAACCATTACTGCTTCCTTTGCCTTTGGCAATTAATCCCTCCTGCCCATTAGCTTATCTCAGATCTACCTCCCAGTTCACAAAACTGTGCTTTTGGCGAAGATGGAGACCATCTGATCAGCTGCCTTTGCCACTTTTCTACCTTCTCCTATAGCCCACCAGGCCAAAGAGCCTCCAAACACTCCCTCTGCCCTAGCTCTGAACTTGTGTATTTCTCTAATTTCTCTCGGTCTTCCCTCATGTCCTCTTCAGGCTCATCTTGTCCATGATACTCACCTATTTTTCTTTTAACCCTATTCTCACGAAGCCAATGACCCAAATAACTTAGCTTCTGTACACCACAAATTTGAGGTTATCCAAGCTCTGCTGGTCATGTCTAAACTGGCTGCAAGCCCCTCTCCCTTATCAGCCCTGTGTTCACTGACCCACACTGGATCCTGTCAAACAACATTTGATTTTAAAATGTTTAAAATGGTTTTGTCCCTTCCTATCTCTATAATCTCCTCCTGCTTTTCAATTCTCAGAAACATTAGTGTTTCTGGCCTCTTAAGTATCCTCAACTTTATGTGTCCCACTACCATTTTGTGTCCATATACTCAGCTGCATTGGCCCCAAATTTTGTAATTCTCTCCTTTAAACTCTCAGGCTTGCCATCCTCCTTTGAAACACTTCTTAAAATCCAAGACTCTTCGACCAATTCTTTGGCTATCTGCACCAATATGCCCCTATGTAACACATTGTCCTACTTAGTTTATAATGTTCCTCTGAAGCACTTAGGGATGTTTATTATAATAAGCACAAGATGAATACAAACTGTTTTTGTAGGAAGCCACGGAATGTACAAAATCCTTCAAGAAACAAAACTCTAAATAATTTTCCAACATTGGATAATGGATAACTATTTGCATTTGAATGGTAAACAACATTTAAATTGCCAGGAAGAATCTCTGCAGTATAAAGTCCACCATTAAGATGACCAAATCATATCATTATATTTCTAGCTGAGAAATATATAGATATAAATTTGTGTTTGTGCAGTCTGCTGAGTCCAGTACAAGCTTATATTTGATGCTTGAAGGCTGAGAAGTAGTTGCTCCTCACACAGAAGTGGGAACATTTTCTCATGCAGGATTGCTGTTGTAACACTTCACAACTCAATCACAGAATTATAGTACAGTATACTGCACTGATATTGCAACGCAGAATTACAGATAATTGAAATGTTAATTAAATGCATAATTTTGTGATGCCTTTTCCTGATAAAACAAATCTGTCAAACAAACCTCAAGATTAATATTCATTGTTTTTATCATTGCTATAATGAATGCATGCTAAGTATGTCATGTTAAAATATCCAGATAACTTAAATAGACACCTTGCCCTACTGGCACGACTCACAATCTGCTGGAAAATGCAATGTTTTGTAATTGCATGAAAAGGAAAACTATTCCCCCAAGAATTTCAATAAAATAATCAAAAGTGTGAAACTACACTGTAACAAAATAGTATTTAATGCATCATAGACATTCTGTTGACAACTGGCAAGACGACTTTTCTGGGCAGGGTATTCGTACGGCTGGTTAAAGACTCAGAGGGCCAGCAGCGTTGTAAAGAGGTTTGAAGCAACTGTAATTCAATGTTTAAATAATTAAGCTTATTTATTCCACAACAGGCCATGACATTCAGAACAGTAGTTCATGCCCATTCTCTTGGTCAAAGTTATGCTGACGACAGCTTTCATTTACAAAATATTATAAAGAACATGGCACAAATATCCATATTTTACAAAATGTACGCAAGAGGGTGTCTGTCATCTGGATTTATTACTTCTTCACCTTTGTAAAAAACACTTGCAATTTTTGATCATATATAATTCACTGCTCGTACAACCAATTAATTTAAAAAGCCTATTCCTCTCTGCCCCAGTCTTTCTTTACTTCCTATATCCTGTTATCTACCCCAGCCTGTGTATAGCTTCCTAAATTCTATATCTTTGGCCACCAGAAATGGAAGGGCCTTCTGATGTATTAGAGTAGAGACATTGTGTTAAGTATACAGTTAATGAATTGCTTATTTAATATTGGGAAATTACCTTCCAGTTAGTACATAAGATATCGTTTACCTAGACGTTTTGAAACAGAACACTAGCAAAAATACAAGTTGCTTTAAAAATTCCCATTATCTGTTCATTCATATTATCTGTTTTTTTCCCAAATTCTGTGGAAGTCAAAAGAATCCTCAAGTATCACATAATAATCAGAGTTACATCAAAGTACCTACCAGTCCAGCCCAAAGAATGGTCATAATAATAAAAAATGTTGCATAGTAGGCACCAATGGATAGCTGGTTTAACTTGTATAGAGTTGAAAGTGTTCTCATTTCACTCATGCCCATAAAGTACATCAGAACTGTCTGAAAAGCTCTCACTGTGGTACTGAATGAATAGGATTCCGACAAGAATAGTAAGTTGCCCAGGCAGGAATAGGCCAGGATGACTAAAATACCACACAGCTATAGAGAGAAACACAGAAACATCATGTTAAAATCGATGAATTCCTGTAGTAAAAAAGAAAGTTGTACATTCAATTTAATGTGAGCGCAGTTTCTTTTTTTAATTAATGCAGTTAAAAGCCAGATTATAATATTATCAATGAACATCACACAGATCTTAGTTTGAACACTGCACATTGTGGATTTGACATCATCTAATAACTAGAGTGTAACAGAACTCAAATTTGCTCGATTAAATGGTGGGTGAACTTAATCCAAAATAACAATATCCTGGTAACAGCTAACAAAAAGCATCCCTTGCAATGTTACTTTCATGTCACAAGATGCTGTGACAGTGCGTCTACGCTCATCACAGAACCTGTCTGATCTCTTTCCTGATACTGTTATATTTGAAAACATTGTACAGGAAAAAGGAGTGCCCAGCGCAGTTACATTAAAAAGAATACAGCAACATAGTGGTCCAAAATTGAAATGACACTCTTTGTACAATGGGTGAATAATGAACGAAAGGAATTTAAATTAGTACCAGTCTAAAAATATAATAAGGCAGTCATAAATATTACATAAAAATAATCTTCCAATGCCAATAGCCGCTGAGGCACGCTGACAAAAGAAAACTGGGCAGGATCATGATTTATTTGCAGAGTACAAGGAGGCTGCAAGGTGATTTAGACACGTTGAGTGAGTGGACAAATACATGGCAGATGTAGTGCGATGTTAATAAATGTGAAGTTATATACTTTGGTGTGGAAGACTCATCAAAATGATACAAGGATGATGAGATGTTATTGTTACAAAGAAATGCACAACAAGGGGTTTTCATTAGAATAAGAATGCTTTTGGGTCTTCGTTGAATTTGGCAGCAAGAAAGACTTTTAGAGATTTACCAAAGTTTTATTGTAAATACATGGTATAGTCAGAACATCAGTTTCCACCTTTCAGATCCTTTTCCTGTCCAGAAACTAACACCTCACTGGGGAAGGAGTTTTTTTATATATCAACCTACTATGACACATCTCTAGAGCAGGTAGGATTTGACCCAGGTTTTCTGACATAGAGGTAAGGACGCTACCACTGCACCTCAAGTACCCTTCCACCATCCAAACTGGGGAAGAACTGAGCGAACTCCAATAAGCATCAATGAGTTCTGGAGCAGATGTGTTCAAGCCTTGAAGGAACCTGACAATTATCACTGAAACGAAGGGGCAAGTTTTCAAATATGAAATCATGCATGGATAGAAATTTGTATTGAGTATTACTGAATCCACTGCCAAAAATGCACAATGTCTGAGATGTGATTCTACTGAATATAAATTAATATCAGTTAGTTGCTTAGCCAATTGATCGCACATATTTGACCCTCCTACCAACACAACTTCTACTCCAAAATTTCTTATTCAGATTTATAGTCAATTGGATAAAGAAGAGGAGAATTTATTCTAGGGCGTAAAAGCTGAAAAAAAAAGTCTTAATTTACAATTCAAAGAAGAGTACAACAGGGAATACTAGGAGAAGCACCACACATACCAAAAAATGAGGTATCAACCTGGTGAAGCTACACAACAGGACGACTTGCGTGCCAACAGCATAAGCAGCAAATGACAGACAGAACTATGTGATCCCAAAACCAGCAGAACAGATCTTAGAGATAGGAAGAACTGCAGATGCTGGAGTCAGAGACAACACAGTGTAGAGCTGGAGGAACACAGCAGGCCAGGCAGCATCAGAGAAGCAGGAAAGTTGACATTTCGGGTTGGGACCCTTCCTCAGAAACAGATCTTAAACTCTGCAGTCTTGCCACGTCCAGTTATGAATTTTGGTGGACAAATAAACAACTCACTGGAGAAGGAGGGTCTGCAAATATCATCCAGAGTTCATTGTCCAAAGTGATGCTTGGTCCCCACCCTGCTGAATATCCAGGTACTGTCCAGATATTTTGTGAATGCATCCGATAACGTGCCTTTGAAGTGAGAGTCCTTGCTGGGTTCTTCCAGACTGACTGACTCCACTTTAATGGATATGGAATGTAAGTTACAGTCATACATATGTTCAGCCATCTTAGAATCTGTTGTCTTATGTCGCTAGACTGCTGTTTCAGTCTTTTAAAACTAAGCTGGTGGCTTTTAGATCCATAGATACATAATATCATCTTAACAAATGATCTTGGACATAAACATGGTTTTACAACAATCTGAATACATGTTAAAAACTTATACTCACCAGCTGTCTGATTTCAGAGCGACTAGGCTCTATCGAGTAGCACAAATCAGTTGGCGCAGGCAGAGCTGAAGACGTTCCATGATTTCAATACACACTGAGAGTAGGGACAGGAGCTTTAGGAAGAAAGGCTTCAGCACTGAAATCAGAAGCTGGAGCAGTAGGAGCAGATGGAAGTCCCTGGTCATGATAAGGGATACTGGGACTTGGGACTGTGAGAGCAAGAGGAAAGGAATCGACAGAAGAGGTCACTGCTGGTGGTGCACTGATCTCCAAGGTACAGGCGAAAAGAGCAGAAAATTCTTTGTGGGATTTGCAGGCCACAGAACAGGAGGAGCGTGGCAAACTAAGTTATCAAATTACTGTATGGTCCCTATTTTACAACCAGAGTTAAACAAAAAAAATGAAGTCAATGTGAAGGAGGGACTTACTAGCCTCATTAATTTTGCAGTACTTAAACAATAGTTTGAAGAAACCTGAATCAACATTTTGCAAAAGCAAAATAACTCTGCTTACCATTGGGAGCATCTGGCAGGAACAGGACAGTCGCAACATTGTTACACAAGGAGCGATCAACTTGTTAACACGTAGCAAACGAATGCTTTTTATTAACAGCAGGAACACAATCAAACCATGAAGGAAGCGTTTCATCTGACAGTGAAACAAACACGTTAGTTTTAAACATTCTGTGATCTGTGACATACAAGTTACAGTCTCTACAACACTGATCTAATGAATGTTACTCCTGGAGCTGGAGAAAGGGAGAGCAAGGGAAAGAGCAGCATGAGGATTGCTCCTGCTGCTGCCCTCAGCAATATGCAGATTCAAGCAGGATCTTCGATTAACACTTGGGAGCAGGAACCCTGCTGATCAAATATATTGTCCTGGAATACAGAGAACAATTAAATCACTGTACTGACACAGAGTCCAGTGAATTTAGCACAGTCCAGCAAATAAACACAGCATCTTATTGGTTAGTGCAGTTCAAGTACTGATCTCATAAATGCGGAATTCACTTGAAAGTCCGGAACAGTGTATGTAATGTTATCGCCTTCAAAACAATTCCACCTCACTAGCCTCCACATTCAAATAATCATCTTCTGCTACTTCTGCCACCTCCAGCAGGATCCCACCACCAAACGTATCTTCCTCTCCCTTCTACTGTCAGCATTGCACTAGGATTGTTCCCTCAGGGACACCCTGGTGCACTCCTCCCTTACTCCTAACACTCCTTCACTCCCCCATGGCATGTGGTGGTACTGGATGGCCCTTTACAGCCTCAGGACACAACAGTGAGTTCAACAACTTTAGAGTATGATCACTGTTCTCTATTTCGATCACACACCTCACCTCCACTTGCTCCTCCTCCTCCTCTGTCAACAGCATAGAAACAATTATGTTTCAGTTCCCTTCAGCTCTCAAGTAAAGTCTCTAAATGTTAATTCTCTTTCTCTCTCCACAGAGGCTGCTAGGCCTTCTGAATTTCCCCAGCACTTCCTGTTTTTATTTCAGGTCTCCAGCATCTGCGCTAATTTCATATATTTCAATCTTGAGAGAATTCAAAAGAATTTCATGTGGGATTTCAACAGCTATTAGAGTTAGCTGGATTCAAACTTTTGGCCTAGAGTATGCTGACTCACTACATTATTTTGTATTCGCCGTTTTTCTTTACTTGTCTTCTTAGGCACTGACTATCGTGTCATTTTACTTCTCACAGCAAACGGAATGGTTTCTGCCTGAGAACTAACCAATTTCATCCAGAACAGTTGAGTTAGTGGAGACTGAGTGGCTATTGTTCCTGCTATCCAAATCTTTGAAAGAAAATACTGTAAAGTATTCAGGTGACTGCTTTATTTCTTTAAAATATTGTTGTTGCTGCACTTCATCTTCGTGTATTTGTCTCTCTAATAATATGCACTTTTCACACATTGCTATATTCTACTTAAAAATCTTACATGTAGTATCATAGGAATAGGAGTTGGCCATTCAGCCTCTTGAGCCTGTCCTACCAGTTTACAATGATCATGGCTGATCTGTGGCCTAAATCCGCATAACTGCCTTTGGTCCATATCCCTTAATACCTTACAAAAATCTTTGTTAAACAATCTTAAATTTGAAACTAACAACTGACCTAGCATCAAGTGAAGCATATGCTGGAAATCTAAAAAAAAGATTTGCTGCAAATATTCAAGCAGTCAGACAGGAGACAAAGGGAGTTAACATTTCAAATTGATAATTAAATGTTAAAGATGGAAGAGGTATGGTTACAAAGAATGGACTATATTTGCAGTGCACTGGGGAGAGGGGTGTGTTGAAGATCAAGGGGGAAGGTTCACTGTACAGTGTCTTTCACCATGCCACAGTTTTCTTTGTTATTTACCTGCCTCTCTTTAAAAGATGCTTAAACACCATTTAACAACCCCGAAGAACGGTCACTGGATCCCAAAGATTAACTGTTTTCCCTGCACAGATGCTGACAGACCTGCTGAATTTCACCAGCAATTTTTCTTTTTGTTATATGAGTCTCTTCTAGTTCTGACAAAAGTTCATTGACCTGAACCTTTAATTTTGTCTCTCTCTCCAATGATTATGTCTAGCCTGCTTAGAGGGTACTTCTTCAGTCTTGAATTTTATTTTCACAGACAACAACACACACTTTCAGCTGCACATAGTTAAAAAATTGGATGCCGTTGTGCGTGGAGTTTTCTAACTATATTTACCTTCTGCAAATGGAAAGTGATGTGGAATGTGTTCATTGAACATCTTTCCAACTGTAATACAGTTGACTGTTCATATGTCAATGTAATTATGTAAATGGTTCCAAAATGTATGATGGTTGCATAGCATCATTACACAAACTCTGGAAAACAACTCTCTGCACTTATCTTTCCCTCAACAAAGCCCCTCTGATCGTTTCCTGTTCTCACCTGCATCCATGCAGAAATAAAGCTCATATCTACAAAGGCTTTGAAATATCCACTGTGAAGATGGTCAATAATATCCACAGCCAAGATGAAGTAAAATACGTAATACACGTAATAGAAGAGACTGACCATGACAAGTCCAATCTGAAGAAGAACAGGAGACACAGAGTGAAAACTGTATACGTCACACACAATTATAAACTACGCAGTTTTACTTATGGATTATATTTAAATCCAGTAACAGTTGAAGTCTGCAGAAAACTGAAAAACAACTGGTACACATAATCTAACCAATAAAATTAACAAAATTTCTGGTTAACCATTTCACATAGTAAGAGTTTAGAAACAGTACTGACTGTCAGTGTACCTCACTTAAGTACATTGATCACTCAATGAAATTCAGAGTTTGTTGTGGCTTAAACATCAGTTCCTTCAAATACTGTTTTGCACAAACTGAATGCAAAGAAAGACTTGCTTTTATATCACACCATTTACGATTTCAAGATTTCTAAAGGAGATTTACAGACAATTGAATACTTTGGAAGCATTGTCAATATTGTAACATAGAAAATGTGGAACCAGTTTGAGCATAGCAAGGTCTCACAAACAGCAAGTTAGTAATGACTAGGTCATTTGTGTGTCTTTAGAGATGATGGTTGAGGGATATGGAAGAATTTCAACGCTGTTTTTTCAAATAGTGCCACGTGATCTTTTCTATCCACTTGAGAGAACAGAAGCATTCCCTCAGTCCAGCGTGAACTTCCAACCTGGATTGTTATGCATGCTTTTAGACTTTTCTGAAGTGAAACTTGAACCCTCAACTTGCTAAATCTGCAAAGAATCCCTCAACCCACAACTAATTATTGTGACAGAATTCTGAATTTTTATATTCCTTCATGGGATTGATATCACTGGCAATGCCAGTATATTTTTGTCCATCCTTAATTTTCCTCAGGAAGACAGTGCTGAATTGCTACAGTCTATCTGCTACGGGTACATCTAGGGAGTTTCAGGATCCTGATCTATTGAAGTGAATTATAATTTCCAATAAGGATATTGTGTGCCTTGAAGAGGATCGAATAGCTGTTGGAGGCTCCAATCCATCAGCTAATCCCATCTTTCTCAGCAGTAGATGTTATAAGTTTTCAAGACACTGTCAAAGAAGACTTGGTGAATCACTGCGATGCATCTTGTAGATTGTGCAGAGTGCTGCTCTACTGACCAATGAGTTGCTGATGAAGTGGGCTGTTTTCTGCTGCTTGGTGTCGATTCTTTGTTTTTGGAGCAAGTAGAGAGAATTGCATCACACTCCTAACTTGTACCTTTGTAGCTAGTGGTTTACTATAGCTTAGGGAGAAAGAGGTGATCTACTCATTGCAAAATTCCTTGCCTCGCACTTGGGCGATTCGGCAATTGTAATTGAATATCAAGGGGAAAATGGTTAGTTTTTCTCTTGCAATGGTTATTGGTTGGTACTCGAGTGAATTTCCTCAGTTTCTGTGCAGAAACTACAGGCTACCAAGTATGAACATATATGGGAGTTAGGAGAAGAAGGCAATTTGGCCTCTTGAGCCATTCTACCCTTCAATAAGGTGACCTGATTGCAACCTTAATCCTACATTGGCATTCCACACCATTATTAAATGGCACCAATCACCACAATGGGATTTGAACCCAGGTGCCCAGAACATTCCCTGGCATTTGAATTAATAGCCTAACAATAATATCATTAGGCCAGCCATAAATGACCCATTAATGCCTCCCCTCTGTTTTCTGTTAACACCACAATCTTCTATCCATGCTAATATGTTTCCCCTACACCACAGACTTTTGTACTCTCTGTAACCTTTGATACGGCGCCTTATCCAAAGCATCCTAGAAATCTAAGTGCAGTAATTCAACCTGTTCCCCTTTATTCATAGCACACGTGACTCCTTACTTATTCAAGAATGTCAATAAATTGGTGGAACAGAATCTCCCTTCCACAATGTCATGTTGACTGTCCTGATTACCTTGAACTTTTCTGACTGCCCTGCCATAACATCTTTAGTCATGTCTTCTAGAACATAGAACATAGAACTGTACAGCACAGTACAGGCCCTTCGGCCCACAATGTTGTGCTGAACTTTTACCCTAAACCTAAGTTCTATCTAACCTCCACCCCTACCTTATACTATCATCCATATGCCTATCTAATAGCCGCTTAAATGCCCCTAATGAGGCCGACTCCACTACCCTCTCCGGCAATGCATTCCACGCCCCCACCGCTCTTTGAGTAAAGAACCTACCTCTGATGTCTCCCCTGTATCTACCTCCACTCACTTTAAATCTATGCCCCTCGTAATAGCTACTTCCACCCTAAGAAAAAGTCTCTGGCTATCCACTCTATCTATACCTCTGATGATTTTATACACTCTATCAAGTCACCTCTCATCCTTCGGAGATAGTAGGAACTGCCAATGCTGGAGAACCTGAGATAACAAGGTGTAGAACTATGTTCATCACACCGTACGCCTTCTTAACAACTCTATCCACCTGGTTCTAATGTGGTTCAGATTTTAAGCTAACCAATCTCTAGCTTTCTGCTTGCTATCTCCCTCCTTTTTTTGAATAAAGGAGTTACATTTCTATTTTCCAATCTATTGGAACCTTCCTCAAATTTCAGGAATTTTGGAAAATTAGGAGAAACGCATCAAGTGTCTCATGAGCCACTTTCTCGGACCCAACATCTTAAATCCATCAGGAAGCAGGGACTGGTCAGCCCCCAGCTCCAACAATATGCTCAGAAAAAATGACCAAAGGTAAAGTCACCAAAGGGCTGTTCTCTCTTTAGATATAGATGACTGGTGCTTGTTTAACCTGAGGGTCATCACATCTCAGGCGAGGTGGGAGGTTGAGAAGGAAAGTTCATCACGGTAACCTTAGCCAGGGCAGAAATTAAACCCACACTGTTAACATCACTCTGCATCTGAAAACAGCCATCCAACCAACTGGGCTATTCGACAGTCCCCACCCCGACCAAGTTAATTCAATATATGCACTGACTTCCATTTCCTGATTAATAATTATTTTTGAGATATTATTTGCATCTTCTGCAGAAAGACCAATGTAAAATAAACGTTCAACTCATTCATCATCTCTTAATTTTCCTTTATTAATCCTCCAGACTCATTTTCTATAGGACAGCACCCACTATGTTAATTATTTTCTCTTTAAAATAGTTTGCAAAACTCCTACATTTTTTTAATTCATATTTCTAGCTAGCTTTCTCTCAGTCAATGTTTCCTCTAATTAACCTTTCAGTTGTTCTTTGCTGATCTTTATATCCGGTCCTGCAGTTTCTTGCTAAACCTGAAACATCACGGAGGATTTTTTATTTACTTGCTGCAATGACAAGAAAGTGTTTTGCAATTCCCTTCCCACTTCTTATTTTCTCACATAATTGAAACTTGCACTGTTTGTATCCCATAGTTTTCCGGTCATCCCTGTCTGAGGCTGCTTCTCCAGAGCATCAAATCTCCGCCAAGCTACGGAATTTCCACCCAGAGTGCGTAGCAGAGTTTTGATTGCTATAAGTGACAAATGCAACAATAAAGGAGAGAAATGGAATTTGAAACTGAATTTCACTGTGAAAATTTGAATTGTTAATGCTCTAAGCGCATTTATGCTGATAATAAAAGGCTCATCAAGCAGACAATAAGCACTCAACAACCTATTCTTGTCACTCTTTTTAAACATAAGGCAGCTTCACGAATTGTCAAACTATCGTAGCATTTCATGCATGAGATGTCACCACGACAAAAGGCAAAGCTTTTGTATCTATTTTGGTCCTCAACCGTCAGACAGTTATTTTCTGGGTTCCTTTTCATTTATTGTCAATATTCCCTACCTGCTGCACAACCAGTGGGTGTTGAGGGAAAGCTCAATTTAATTTGATCAAAACAATTTACTATAATAAGCTTCTGACCTCCAACCAGTTCCAAGGCTCCTGCCAGTAACTCAGTAGGCCTCTCTGAGTCATCTTGCACACCTGGAAGTACAGGTGAAGTAGAATAAGGGCCAGGAACAAAAGCTGCAAAGCACAACAACAGTAGCATAAATGTAAAATGCAAGTGCAAGGTACAAACACTTAAAATCAGATGTAATCATTCCTCCATTATTTTCAAAGGCTTTGTTTATGTTATGCAACTAATAGGTTAATGAAATTTGTATCCTAGATGGTTAGCTAATTTCATTATTTGATGAGGTTGTAACTGAATTCAAAATTATAGGCTGGGCACTCAGTTCTTCACTTGTACATATGGGTCCTGAGTCCAGAACTGCACAATAGTTCTTCAGCAATGTGTAATTTCATTGAGAGAAGCTGTAAGGTTGTTTTATATCAAATGTAAAAAGGACTTCAAAAAGTAGACACAGTATAACAAAACTGAAAAAAATGTCTTTGGCTGTTCAAAATGATTTCATTTATATTCTGTCGGTAGCTTGTCACCTTAAAGCAATTTAAAGAAAAACAGCCAATATTTTAACCCATGACCTGGAATTCTCACCTCAAAAGCCATAATGAAATAATCCACAACAGAGTTCTTCTGGTAAATGCTGACTGACTCTATACGAGCTGATGGAAGCACACCCCCTAATGGTGGAAACTCTGCCAGCAGAGACACAGTGGTGAAGAGGTTGGTTGGAGGATTGTAGAGAGTGAACTCAACCATCACTGCTCTTGTGTTCTGATTAATCCACCCGGTTTCCTTCAGTGTTAGTAATGTTGCATAAGTCTTGTCCCTAAAATTTTGAAGCAGGGAGTAAATTAAATACTAGTTCAGTCTGTACTACTGAAGATATGAATAATGCTTACATAGATTATGCTGAAATGGTTTCAGCTAAAATTGTCCTTCATACAGGAAAATTAATTATTCCATTAATCTGCTATTGTATTATCCATACAACAACTATATCATTGTGACTCTCAATGTTTCTACTTCTGCAACATTTCAGAAAAGTTAGTATTCCCTATCTATTCTTTTCTTTTAGTGTAACTACTCTCAATGATAGATCATCTTCAAGCTTTAATCTCATTTTTCAATACACATAGAAAAGGTTACTCTCAATGGTAATCTTCGACTTTTCTGATTATTCCACTCTCTGTCTCTATTCCTGGCCTATTCCTGTTCCAATGTTCCTACGTCACAATTCAGTAAAGGCACATGGAAGAAACTAATCAACAGGTTATAAAAATCAAATCTCCCAAAGCAAAGAAAAGAAATATTATTCTTCCCAGGAAAATATTTTATTGAGAAGTACAGCCAATCAATGATAAAGATTGAAGTACATCGAACATAGAACAGTACAGCACAGTACAGGCCCTTCGGCCCACAATGTTGTGCTGACCTATTATCCTACTCTAAGATCAAACTACCCTGCATACCCTACATTTTACTATCATTCATGTGTCCATCCAAGAGTAACTTAAGTGTCCCTAATGTATCTGACTCTATTACCACCGCCGGCAGCGCATTCCACGCACCCACCACTCTCTCTGTACCCTTGCACAATTCTCAAATGACAGAGCACTTCAGGTTTATTCCAAGTTTAGAAAATTCCAAGGCGCCAGATCTTGCCCCCATCAGAGACAAAGTCAGCGGTGAGCCAGCAGACAAGGAAGCAGCTGCTCCTGCAGGCACAACATGCTGTGGGCCAGCTAGAAAGATCAAGAGTTGGACACTGCCCTTCAGCAGGGACAAAGTCCTACCCTCTGCACTTGCTACCAGTCTGATTCACCAGCAGAGCAAAGGCTCAGAAATGGGCACAGCCAGGACTGCAGGCAGACCCATGCTGGATGCCCGCATGAACCCCAGATCCAGCTTTGCCAGGGCAACAGAGTGGGGAATGGGGAGCATTTGCCTACATTAGGTAAGGGTTTGGGGGTGTGGGTTTTGAAATATACATGGGTACAAAGGAAAAAGGATGGGGAACTTGGGATAATCTTCTTGAGGGTGACCCTGGTTGCCCATGCCAACTATTTCATGGGCAAGTCTACATTTAAGTCAATTGAACTTTCAATAAGTTGAAATCATCTGAATTATGTCTTTAAACATGTTGTGGGCTGCTGATTTTTTTGAAATTGTGGGGTAGGATCAGTGCAAATGTGGTGGGCTGGGAGCTCAACCTATGCCCCCATGTTGAAACACACCGAGCATGGGCATGTAACACCCAGCCCCAAGTGTCTGATGTTCTGTTCATTCTAGATCACAATTTGCGTATTTCTCTCCACAATGCCATCGAAGATATGAACAACAAACTGTATTATAGTCTAATGTTTCATAAGAAGCATGACAGTAATTAGGGACAAATCACTTCGTTCATGTCGAGCACTGATAATTAATAAGTGACAATACCTCTCTCTCTATTTCAGGTGTTAACAGTAAACAATCACATGGATGTGTCTGAACCTCACCATGTTGAAATGAGATATGAACGGTGAAAGCATGCAATTTCTTATTCTCAGGACATCACTGAATTCCAAATGTACTGACAGAAAGCAGTAATCTGTCTTCATCATTTCTAGTAGAATCTGGTATGAAGAGTGACAAACTGTCATGCTCCATCTCAGATACCAGGAGTAAAAGGCAACACTCTCATCTTCCACATCAGGAGTTAACAACAAACACAACAAATCCTCAGGCTTGACATCAAAGTTATTCCTAAGCAGATGCATGCAAAAGGAAATCTCAAATTCAATGATAATTGCATAGGATTCCCATAGTTCCACATGATATATGATCAGTCTTATTGACAACCTCTTGAAATAGCCATCTGCTCATGGTGTTAGCTTGATGCTGAGATAGGATGCATATACATTATCCTCCTTGATTATTGTTACCCTTAACAAGTCATCACATGCTGTATATCACGCAAACACATGAAAGAGCCCACAGCCACCATATCTGCCTTTGAGAAGTGCCCAGTCTACCTTAGATCACCCTGGAAGGGGAGCTGCTTCAAAATGTTGAGCAACAGGTGAAGCTACCTGCCTCTTGTGGCAACTTTGCAGTAAATACACAAATGGTATTCCCCACTACCAGATGCTTCTGTCAAACCAAAAAGATGTTTCGCTCACCGTAACATTAAGAAATGTGGTATATGACTTTCAGTGCCAGTGTGATGTCAGATATGTAGGCCACATGTCCCAGTAACTGGCAAACCATATCAAACAACATGCCCTTTTAACTGAGTGCAGCAGGTATCGTACCAACTTTGCTTAACCAGCCATACTTGCAAACCTCAGAACACCATATCCAACATTACGCTAATGGACAGCATTTACTAAATAATCATGACTTTGTTAGGAAGTACACTGGAAGCCACTTTAAGATTATCAGTCAGGTTCGTAGTATCACTAATTTGTTGTATCCGTCTCCACTGCCTCTTCTGGCAACACATTCCAAGCACTTACCACCTTCTGTTTAAAAAACATGCCTCCTACATCTCCTTTAAACTTACCTCTTTTAACCTTAAACTTATGTCCCTTAATAATTGATGTTTCTACCCTAGGGAAAAGACTTTCACCATTCATTCTATCCACACCTCTCATAATTTTGTAAACTTCTATCAGGTTGCCCTCATTCTTTGGCATTCAAGTGAAAACAAACCAGTTTTGTCCAATCTCTCCTCATAGCTAATACTGTCCCAACTGGGCAACATCCTGGGAAGCTGTTCCTGTATCTGTCTCTAAAGCCTCTACATCCTCCTGATAGTGTGGTGACCAGAACTGTACACAATAAGTTCATTTCACATTTGTGCCAAATATGACCTTTTTGGAGAGGGAGCAGAAATTTTAAAAACCATTCTATAATACAGCATGTATAGTTCTGGCTTTCATTCAAAAGGCAAAATAACAAGAACTAATGTGAATCTTACCTTGCTTTACTTTGTTGTAAAAAATGCTTTTCTTGAAAATGTTAACAAGGATTAAAATGTCGGTATATTAAACAATGAGAGGATCTGAATATCTTACCATGTTCTACTGAGGTTAACCACAGATCCTGTTCCTCTGTAGCAATTAAATTGGCCACACTGGCTGGACTGCTCAATTTCTACATGCTTCGTTGTATTTGAATGAGCTGGATTGTGGATCATAGTAGTGTACGGAAATTTACAATGCTGGATAAATCCTGACAATACTTCTGGAATCTAAAAATACAGAGATGAGGTAAAAAAAAACACCTAAACCACAGTGTAGTTCTCAGCTTTCCAGATCAGAAAAATATCAAGCTGAAGAGTAGAAATACTGTAAGTTAGTGGGTCTGAGTTGGAGTTTATGGTCCAGGGAGAAGGAGAAATAGTTTGGACGTGGTCTCCATTTCTGATCGCTGTTCTGTAACACTGTTTGAAATACATGTACAGATGTAAAATGGGGGAAGACAGAATCAGGGAAGGGAGTGGCATTGTCAGATAATCCAGGTTGTTGCTCTGGTGACAGGCACATTCCCACCATGGCAGTTAGCAGAATGTAAATTTATTTAACAAATCAGCAATTGAAAGACAGTTACAGTAATTGTAAAACTCACACTAGGCTCTTATGGTGCAGTGACATCGTCTTGGATCTCTGGGTGAAAAACCTGGGTTAATTCCTGCCTGTTTCAGAGGCATGTCAATGACATGTCCCAACAGATTGATTAAAATAACTATACATCTCTAAGAGGCTCTTTGGTACAGCCCACCTCTGAGCCAGGAGGCCTGGGGTCAATCCTGTCTGATCCAGAACCAGAGGTCTGTCATAGTATATCTGAACAGGTCAATTAAGCAAACAAAAAGAATAAAATTCCATCGTTCATTAATGTCCCTTAGCGAAGGAAATCTGCTGTCCTTTCATGGTCGAGCCTACACCTGACTTCAGACCCACAAGAGTATGGTTGACTCTTAAATGCCCTCCACAATGGCCTAACAACACACCATACTGTGCCAATCACAACAGAAACATCAAGCAATTAGGGAATGACAATAAATGCTGTCCACAACCTATAAAAGTGTAAGGAAACAAAGGTTCAGATGCATAACAAAATATCTCAGGTGTGTGTATTTGTCACATGCATGAGGATTCAGACTGTATTTTCAAGTGGTGAAAATTAGTAAACTATGAAAAGTGTGTGTGTGTGTGTGTGTGTGTGTGTGTGTGTGTGTGTACGCAAGTGGTCCAGCATCACATGATCTGCAGCTTACACTTCTTGCTAGATAGCAGGATGAGGGACTGTTTGGTTGACCAGTGGACTTTGGGACCCGGAAACTGCTGACCCTGACTGGCTGAAAGTTTCAGGCAATCCAGACTGCCAGGGTCAAGGAGTGTGATAGGGCGAGATATTCACTGTTCCCCACAGTGTTAATGGGCTGAGTGGCAGCAGATCAGGTGAATTATCTTGCTATCGCGGTGGCATGTTCATTGCCACCCGTTACACTTGGGACCACACTTAGAAAGATTATGGGAAACTTTTGCCCAAAGATTTTTTGTAGTTTGATCACTGTGAAAAGATTGAAATGTAACTGATGGCTAACCTTACTGTTGATAACACCTAGAGATTCTCTTGACTTAATGCTAGATTTAAACTGCTGCAAGGAAAAGAAAATGCCATGCAACTGAGGTCATTAGGTCATTGTGGGCAGCTTCAAGATCACTGGAAATGCTTTTCCTTAATCATTGACTGAAAAATCCAAACCAGTCAGTTACGTGATGAGGAACCCAGAGATTAGACTTTATACAGGACATCTATTTTTCTTGTGCATTGAGCAGAGTGACAATTGCATAATTTTTTAAGCATTTGTATTTATTTTACTATCATTTTGTGATGATTAAGTTTAGGGCAGAACTGTTTGTGTTCTATTCTGGCTTTTTTAGAAGCCATTAGCGCTCAATAGAGTCATCTTGAAACGAACGATGGAATGAAACCACTTACATTACAGCTGGAGTTATTGGTGACTTGGATTTTCCTGAGAGTTGGAGTGCCAATCAAATAGCATTTTCCTTGAAGAGGACCAGCCTACAAATTGTAATTGAAACTGCAATTAGCAAAAGAACAAGGATCAAGAGTGGGCCACTCAGCCCTTAGAACCTGCCATTCAATAAGATCATGACTGATCTGCTTTTAACCTCAACTCTACATACCCTCGATAATCTTTCACCCCCTGACCAATCAAGAATCTAACTACCTCCACTTAAAAATATTTACAGGTTCTGTATCTACTGCCTTTTGAGGAAGGGAATTCCAAAGTCTCACCACCCTCAGAGAGAAATAAAAATCTTCATTTCTGGAAACACCTTTTCATATCCAACTGGTCAAGTCTCACCAGGATCTTTTATGTTTCAATTAAATCATATTTGACTTTTATAAAGGGTTAAGGCCTAGCCTGTCTGGCCTTTCCTCATAAGACAACCTGCTCAGTTAAGATATTAGTCTCGTAAATTTTCTCTGAACTGCTTCCAATCAATTAACATTACTCTGGACTCAGTCTGACCAATTCTCTATATAATTAAAGCATAACCTCCCTACTCTTTCATTCAATTCCTCTCGCAATAAACCATTACATTCAATTAGCTGATAATTATTTTCCAACAAAGACTGTATGACACAATAAATGACAGAAATCATGTTTATTGAACAATGCAGCATCACTCCTGTATGATACAATTGCACTGAAAATGGTTAATCTGGAGAAGATGGTTACTCATGCTGGAGTATGGTTCCACGTACTACAAGGTAGTTCACAGGGACATAGAGTGCTAGAATGTACAGTACAGGGAAAAGGCCCTTTGGCCCATCACATCTGCACCTGTCAAAACCAACCACTCAACTATTCTAACTCCATTTTCCAGCACTTGATCCATAGCCTCGTATATCTTGACACTGGAAGTGCATATCTAAATACTTCTTAAAAGTTACAAGAGTTTCTGCCTCTACCAGCAGTGAATTCCAATTTCCCACCACCCTCTGGATGAGAACATCTCACATCCCCTCTAAACCTCACATCTCCTCTAAACCTTCTGCCCTTTACCTCAAATGTGTGCCCCCTGGTCATTGAAGCCTCCATCAAGGGGAAAGTTTCTTCCTGTCTGCCCTTTCAATGCCCTTCAAAATTTTATACATCTCCATCATATATTTCCTCTCAATTTCCTCTGCTCTAAAGAAAACAACCCCCGCCTGTCCAATCTCTCTTCAGAAATGAAATACTCCAGTCCAGGCAACATCCTCTCTGTAGCCTCTCTCCTAAAATGTGGATTCCAGAGCTGCATTAAAAGTTGAACAGGCTACTCAGCTATAGGAGAAAAATCATAGATAAGTATTATTCCATTTGTACTCAATACACACTTATTCACACAAACAAATATTCTTGCCTAATCAGCAAAAGTACCTAAGCTTATTTTTCAATTTAATTGTAATGGGATTCTAAAGTCAATTGCAAATCCAAGTGTTAATATTATTGCGGTCAAATATATTCCAGAACTTACCTAATCGGCATCTGGATTGCAGCTAAGAAGGTAGGACCTCTGTACAGTGTTACTACATTTGTTTCAGTTTTTTTCAAAGTCCCAATTGAGCCAATTTGAAATGAAGAAAACAACTAAATTTACATGAAAGGACTGACTCTGCAGCAGGAAACATGTTCTACCACGAGAAATGGTTTAATCAGAAAAGCTGAAGTCAAGTTATTGCATGTTATTGATTGTGTGTATGAGTTACCTGGCTTTTTGCTGCAGCATTGTTGTACCATGTATCCCCGTACAGACCATGTAACAAGGCACCGAAGCTCCAATTCCACCAGTCATCAGTTGTTTTGATATTGATGAAAGGGTGTTTCTGATTCCTAAATATGAAATCAATGTTAATTATAAGACAAATTGGCAAACATAAACGTCTTTTTGAATTAATATTTCCTTAGAAAAGATTTTTTTTTGCTTGACTGTAAATGAATGTGTGTAAATACATGGTGCAGGAATGTGATCTCCTGACTCCCAAAGCCTCTCCATGAATCACCAGAAGGCACAAGTCAGGAAGGTGATGGAATGTTTTCCACTTGCCTGGACCAGAGGTTCCACACTATCCAGCATTCCCCTTGATTGGCATGTCACCCCTAGCTTTAACATGTACTCCCCACTCCCACTACTGAAGCATTATGACTGCAGTATGCAGCACCTTGGTCGTGGTTTTTTTCAAGCAGCATTTTCCAAACTCAGGAGCTACGCTACGTGGAAGAACAAGGCCAACAGATGCACAGGAATGCCATCACCTCAAACTTTCCCTCCATGTTGTGCACCATTCTTGCTTGAGCATTTCTCACTGCGCCTTCATTACCGCTAGGTTTGAAATCAAAATCCAGAGAGTCCATCCCTAATAGCGCTATCTTATGAAGAAAGGTTGAAGAAGTTTAGCCTATGTCAATTGGAATTCAGAAGAATGAGAAGTGATCTCAATGAAGCGTATAAGATCTTGAGGAGATAAGAGAGGGCAGATATTTCCTCTTGTGATGTGGTGGTGCAGAGGGAGCATTGACAATGAGAGGTATCGCTTTTAAGAAAGAGATGGGAGACTTCTTTTTCTCTTAAAGAGTCGTCAGAGTGTGGCATTTTCATCTCCAGAAGATGTTGGAGGTTGAGTATTTAAGATGTATTTAAGGCTGAGTCATATAGGTTTTTGACAGACCTCCAAGTGGGTCAAGGGTTATGGGGAGCAGAGACACAACCAGATCAGCCATGATCTTACAAAATGTTAGAACAGGCTTGAAAGACCAAGTGGCCAAGTACTGCTGCTATGTTCCTATATTCCTAACAGCACTGTGGGAATACCTCTGCCAAATATACAGTGGTGGTTTAAGGCTCACCACCTTCTTCAGCTTAAAGAGGATTCGGAAATAAATAGGGGTGGCCAGCAATATATAAAGAGTAGCAACTAATTTCAAAATGAAAGGTTCAGTATGACCCTTTCAACAACAGAAAATTTCAAGAAATTTAACAGTTAAGTTTTTTATTGGAAACGTCTTTTGTGAACATTTTAAAATCCAGCGCTATGAAAAAAGTCATTAAAAACTCATTACATGATACAACAAAGTTTCAGTTGTTTACCAGACAAGCAAAAACTAGATGAACTGAGTTATTCATCTCATCAATGTTGTGAACCTTGCCTTGCACAAGTGCCTGCCATGTTTTCCTTCCGAATTTATTTGAATACACTTCATTGTTTACGAAGCTCATAGAAGTATATGACAGAAAGGAAGAGACAATATACAAGTCCTTTTTATTGCATTTCTCTAAGCCTCTGATAACAAAAGGTCCATTTACATGTGTAATTCTACAGTGTGGGGGAGAAAATAGCTTACATTGCACCACTGCATAGAAACTGGTTCCCTAGAACCAGGCAGCACTGTCTGTCCCTCGAAAAGCAATCAAACAAAATCTTCTCTCTCAGTGACTTAAATAGGCAGCTCCTAGAAATATGTCCTGTATCAATGAATCTACAGAGAAGGCAATTCTTGTGTGAATGAAAATAGACTGAAAATAATTTGGATATCATTAAAATGTTCTACCCAAGACTGCAAGAAATTACAGCAAGTTGTGAACGCAGCCCAGTCCATCATAAAAACCAGCCTTCCTTCCACTGACTCCTTCCATACTTCCAGCTGCTTCAGGAAATCAGCCAACATGGTCAAAGCCCCCTCCTACCCCGGTTATACTCTCTTCCACCCTCTTCCATCGGGCAGAATGTATAAAAGTTTGATAACAAGTACCAACAGATTTAAGAACAGCTTCTTCCCCATCATTATCAGATTAACGAACAGACCTCTTATATATTAGAGTTGATCTTTCTCTGCACCTTCGCTGTAGCTGTAACACTATATTCTCCATTCGATTCTATTACCCTGATGTACTTTTGTAAGGTATGATTTGTTCGGTTAGTATGCAATACAATACTTTTCACTGTATCTTGGCAAATGTGACAATAATAAATTAAAATCAAATCAAAATAGAGCAGCAGTTTTGGTACTGGATTTTGACCATACAAAGTTTTGAAACTGAACTAAGAGAAACAAATACTCTGCAGGTCAAGCAGCAGCTGTGGAGAGAAATGCTGTTAACCTTTCAGGGCAAGATGTACATCGATCTATGAGCTAATGCCAGGAGAAAAATTACAACTAAATTACAATTAAAACTGTCAGTTTGTCATAAAAAAAACTCTTGGGAATGCCAATTCCTTATGAAAAGATCATTGGCCTGAAATGAAACCATTACACAGATACTACCTGAGTGCTGGGTTTTGGTTTTATTTTAGGTTCACAATTTCCACAGTATTTTGCTTTTAAGTCAGAAATATCTAATTTTTTAGGCTTACTTACATTTTACAATAAAACCACAAAAACAAACTGGATTTCCTAACCTTGTAAACTCCACCCGAATAGCTTGGTTGAGGTAATATTCATCTTTGGAAAATTTGCCAAATGTTATCAACAGCAGAAGAATCAGCATGACAATTAAAAGCACAAACTCTCTGCAACAGGGAAAGAAATGATGTTTTGAAAAAGTGTAACTTCAGCATTACATAACTACAGCAAAAAGACCACCCAAGAGGGAAAAATAAACAGTAACTCCAGGTACTTAAGCAAATAAGATTTTAATTAATGGACCAAAATTTAAAGAAAGGATGAAATACTGTAGTGTCTGCTGAATGACGCTTTCTTTTCTCATACGGTCTCTGGCTTCTTTAAGTTGTGTAAGAGTCGGTGGTCGAGCTAATCGTAAATAGCGAGCCCTTTGGCGAGCAGCAACAATCTACATGGTAGAAATACACAAACTATTACTAAACGACTAACAAAGACTAATTTGAAAAAAAAATTCAAAAAATTCAAATTTATTTCAGCATTTTGTAAATGAACGTAGCCCATTTCTATGTGCAACAAAGCACCAAACACAACTCACTCTGAGTTTTTTGTTTGTGGGGTTGTGTTTCAGAATCTGCCTGCACGGGGTGGGGGTGGGTTGGCAATTGAGGCAGGCAATGTGCTAATGTGGGGCTTCCCTCTCATTTCCCTGATGGTAGTCTTTCACCAAGTGGGTCCAGGCTGCTAGCTGAACATTAAACAGGGTATCCAGCATTCTGCATGATTGATATCTGGTGCTGCCCGCCTCCAGTTCTTCTTGGCAGCCTGCCCCTTACACAGAAGTTACTCCGATTAAAAGAAATGTGTTGCTGTTCACCATCACTGTTGCTGCTGGACTCTCAAACTCACTTCAGCATGTCTGTGATCTGCTTTATCGCATTTACCCTGTTTCTATAATTGTCAGAATCAGCTATTTATCCTTACAAGTTCAAGTGGCACTGAGGTGGGGTCATAAGTTTGGTGCAGAGGGACATACCCTGTCCCTCATCCATCATCCTCCACTTCTTCTTGGAGGCTCAAAGACAGCAGGAATAGCAGATTGCTAGGATTATGGGCAGAGATATGGTGGTTTGTAAATGGTCACATATCAGCTGCACATTCATAAAATAGTCACTCTTGTAGTTCCTGTACCTCTCCTGGTTGATACAGGAGACCCACAGGGCCACGTGAGTGCAATGGATGGCTCCATGCACTAGACTTCCTGGCAAAGCTACATGCCTGCTCATCCTGCTTCTCTTTGGTGAGAAATAACACAACGTAAACATTTCTCCTTGCACATATTGCCTCCATGATCTCCTGGATGAATAACGGATGATATTCTGAATGATGCTGGATATATCACCAATCAGTTGCACAGAAGTTTAAAGTGACTGTGAACATTATGGCTGCTTGCTGCACCATCCTTACACTGGTGCTTCATTGCTCAGTTCTGTTGCAGATCGAGAGGCACGACAGCTACAACCCCCAGACCGCTTTCAGATTAAATCCTTTGATCACCCTTAATGTATGTTCTAGTTCACCAGACTTCCAGATTAAAAAAAATCACAGGACTTCCATAAACTTCCCCACAGCAGAATTAAGTCTACAGTACCTCATTTACAAATTGAATGTCTAGCTCTTTAGTTAGTATTCTTTGAGGAAATTCATGTAAATGAAAAACTGTTCAGCTGTGAATGATCAGCAGAACTGAACTGTCTTAAAGACAGAGGGGTCTTGTGGTGCAGTGATAGTGTCCCTTCCTCTGAGCCAGGAGGCCTAGGTTCAAGTCCTATCTAATTTGGAGATGTGTATTAGCAGCAACTAGATTTCCTTTTTTTCTCATGATTGTTTCATGGGAGCAACACCACCCCAATAATTTACCCAAATAGTATTCTTCAACATTGATGGGCTACTTACCATACAAGTTAAGCCTGACCCCATTTTCACTTGGCATCCATAGTCCACCCTAATCAACAAGGGTCATTAGGTAGTAAGCAGGAGCCAATCCTTCCAAATGTTATATTTTTGAAACAGACCAGAGTTCATTTTGATGAGGAATACAAGAGAAATTAGTAAAGCAAAGTAATTAATGAGTGTTACCCTGTCAAGATCCATAGGAGAATTGTATATATTGTAATTAATATCAGTGGGGTTTCTCTCAGGAAGGATACCAGCTTCTGAATTCCATTGCTTGCAGGTTTCCAATGAAGAATTTGAATCAACAATGTTGTAAATATCGTTGCAATCCTTATTTTTCAATGCGACAACAGCTGCAGTGCAGAAAATCTGAAAAGGAATTTGAGCAGTGAGAGAAACCTTCCTAAAATGGTCAATTTAAACCTGTCTGAAGAGAAACTAATTCAAGTAATTATCATGAGTACTCAATCTTCGCAAATACTTAGAAGAGCAAAAAGAATGTAATGCTACTTTTCTGCCACTAGATGTAGCTAATGATCATCATAAACATAATTTTGAATGTGAAAAGTTTGCCTGTTGTGGGACTGATTACTGTATGAAGTTAAAATGATAGGATAATGGGTCCATCATTTTGGGATTCCCTCTTTATTATTGCTTTACTCATTAAGTAAATTGACGTCACAGAACACTGAATGTTCAACAGTCTGAAAATAACAATTAGCTAGGAACCATAGAAGATTGTCTGATTGGAAGCAGGAATCTATAAAAAGGAAACAGACAAACTAAGTGGAAAAACTATGTTCAATAGATATTAATGGCTGAGAAAAAGACAAGTCAGAAAATGAATGGTGAGAAGGTAAGTGTTAAGAGGATCGATGAATCAAAATGACAATGTACAGAAAACAGTAAAACCTGGTGCACAGTTACAGACAGTCAAAAAGCTAAAGAAACGTTGGTCCTTATCTTAGAGAAGTTGGAGTCTAGGTGACAACATGATGTATTTGTTGTAAAGTGCACTAAACATATTCCATCTGGAGTACTGTTCTCAATCTTGCACACCAATACTCAAAGATATACCAGTCTTGAAGGGATTCAGCATAAATTCATTTGATTAAATTATTGAGGATGCACGAACATGTCTTACAGTTCCTTGAGTTTTGAGGTTGAAAGGAGATCTAATTAAGAGGTTTAAAATCAATACGAGAGAATTCATGGGGTAGAAAAAGAGGAATATCTTTTCGTGGAGAGATTCAAGAAAAGAGACCTCACTTTAAAATTAAATTTCAGGACTGAACGTAAAATGAGAAAGAATGTCTTCTTTCAACAAATAATGGAAGTGTTTCACTCTCTATCCCAGAAAGGCCGTAGATATTGTATCAGTTAAAACAGTTAAGACAAAGGTTGGTAGATGTTGTTGAGTAAGAATATCAAGGAACATTTCTCAGTTTTGTAAATAGAATTGAGATAAAGATCTGCTGTTATCTGATTGAATGACCAGACATACTTGAGGGTCAAATGGGAAGCTGGTTCTAATGGATAGTTAAAGCTTGGTTGGTCAGATGGCTAAAGCATGGTGCAGAATGGTGCATGGGTTTAATCCCCATACTGACTGTGTCGTCCATGGAGGGCTGCCTCCTTGCCTTGACCCACACTTGGTCTGGATCGGTGACCCACAAAGTCTCGAATGGACCCTCACCAACAGAGAAATGCCTGTCGTCCCTTTTGAACTATGGCTAATTAGCAGTTAATTATCATAGAAATGACCTCAAAATGGTTTCATATTGATCAGTCGGAGAATGTAGCATTACAATGGTTTTATCACAGAGATTAATTAAAAAAAGCCATCATGTTAAAACCTGCCCCAGCATTAAAAACCTTTGTGAAGATCACACTGTTTTTCTATTCTACTGTCCATTTGATTGTGGATTGAAATGGAGAAAGGAGTGCTTTAAAACTAAAGAGTGTCAAAGGAATTGCTGCTCTTCTGAAAGCCAAATTACTGAAACATGTTCCGAGTCATGTTTACACTACTGCATTGTTCAAGCAGTTGGGCAAGGTGTGTGTAGACGGGCTGGACCTAGGGCTGTATACAGACTGAGACTCAGCAGGTAACAAGTTGCTGATTGCCTTATGGAGTTGTGACCAGTTGTAAATGACAAAAGCCATCAGCGTGACAATTAGCTGATTGGCTGCTAGGGAACTCAACAGCTGGTGGGTATGCCTGATAGTGGCAGAAGCACTCTGACTGCGGCAAGAGGCAATTGCTGTGTCTTTCTCTCCAGTAAAATCCCTAAAGGCTGGAGGAAAACGCATTGATTTGTCCTCACCAATCGCTGTAAGCTGTGACATTTAAACAGTAAGAAAGAGACGGCAGTTAGTGTACCACTCACCTGTGCTTCCTGTAAGTGAAAAGAACTTCAGAAGAGAGACTGAAGAACAGAAAACCCTGGCAAGCAAATGGATCATCTCAGCAAACCCAGCGGACTAGGGCCATTGAACTGCTGGCCCATTTATTTCTCTCTGCCCATATCACATTTTTTTTGTATTTGTGTGCGCGTGTACGAGTTAGGGAGCTGACAGGAGCTTTAGGACTTTAACTAGTAGCATCATATATGGACAGTTCAGAGTTGTTTACCTTTAGTTAGAACCTATTTAATTGTAAAGAATAGTCGTTCATGTTGAAAACCTGCTCCATGTTTTTTGTTCAGACAAGTAAATTGGGACTTTGAGTACTTTGATAAAAATTTTTAACCTTTGTGACAACTCTAGAAATATGGGGGCTTGATTTCCAGTAAGCCACTCCAGTGAATTATAACACCTGAATGACCTGTACCTATCCTGTGTTTCTTCCTTTGGAGACTAAGTAAAGCCTTTGTCACACAGAAATGTCTCTCACATTACTTACTGCAATAGGTTGGATGATAAAGATGCAATACAGGAGTGAGAAGAACAGTGAATGTAACCACAGTACCGATTTAGTTGGTCCAAATCTGTCATTTACAATAAAAAAGGCACAGTATTTAATCATTTTTGTTTCAAACGAATGAAGATTTCAAAAAATCCAAAAACTTGGCTTATGAATTGCAATCATTCTTACCGTAGTCCTAACAGGACTGTTGTCAATATGCACACAAAAGCAATTAAAAGGCAGATCACCCAGGCAAGATAATTGCACCATGTTGGGAGAAAATATCTGGCTCTATTCATCACGGTCTGATCAAACAAACTGCTGTGTTCTAGAGATATTAAACAGATTTTTCAAAGATTACTGTCAGAGGTGTTTTATTTAATTCCTGATAGTTCAGGTATAGGAAATTGAAACAGATCTCGTACATCTAAAGGATGAGTTCTGAGTTAATGCTACACAATGAGAGTCAAGTGCCAGGGTCACTATTTTCCAATAGGTGGATAAAAGCAAATCAGGGGGTGCCAGCTGCTTTCAATCATCTAAGAAGATGAATTGAAGAATGACTGGGAGCAATTCAGTTTGGTCCAAACTCTCATACAGTGAGTTCTGTATGGTGCAGGGAGACAATGAGCACTGTAGTAAAACAAATAATATTTTCTTGTTGCTGAAATCAAGAGAGAACCTCAATAACAGAACATGTTTATACAAGATCCCTGTCAAATTAACAATAAAAAGTCAATTTGTGGTGATAATTAAAAGTCTTACATGGACAATATGTGGAATACTGTAACAACTTTAACATTAACTGCTTCAAAATCCTGGAACTTCCTTCCTCTTAGCACTGTGACATACCCACACTCTCCTGCACTGCAGCAACTCAAGAAGATAGCTCACCACCACCTTCTCAAGGGCAACTGGCATGGGCAATAAATATCAGCCCAGCAAGTGATGGCACCATCCAGTGAACACATTTTAATTTTTTTTATTCATTCATGGGATATGGGTGTTGCCGGCAAGGTCAGCATTTACTGCCCATCATAATTACCCACAGGGCAGTTAACAGTTCACCACACTGATGTGGGTCTGGAGTCACATGTAGGCCAAACCAGGTAAAGATGGCAGATAGTGAACCAGATGGGTTTTTCAAAATTGATAGATTTATTTTTAGTATAGTGAATTCAAATTCCACTGTCTGCCATGACAGGATTTGAGACCGCGTCCCCAGAACATTACCTGTGGCCTCTAGATTAAGAATTCAGCGATAATACCACTAGGCTATTGCCTCACCACTATACTGCCAGTTCAATTATTCCATTATTTTTCCTACCTGATGAATAATCTGATTGCAAGTCACTTGTACTGTGTTTGGAATCCTTTGGCACTCGTTTGGCATTTTCCTGTGAGCTGCAGTCCTCAAATCCACTTGAACTGCCCTCAGACAAGCAATTTCTGTCCTTGTTGCTTCTTTCACTGTAGCGCCCTGAGTGAACACTGGGAGATTGTGACTCCAGTAAACCACGCTGAGGAAATGCAATCATAAAGAATTGGTATAACAATTCTCATCATTGTATTCCTATTCTTACATTACCACAGCGTTCTCTATCTCTGTAAGTTCCTGCTGTCGAACAAGCTTTCTACATCCATTCAATTCTGGTATTTAGCACATCTTTGATTTTCAAAACCCTATCATCGACTGACTAGGCCAATGCAAGGAATTCCTTGAAATTTTATTCCCAGTCTTTTCTTTGGCTCGTTTCTTTTGAAAATCCAACTTCTCTGTTCACCTGTACTGATATTTCATTATGTCACTGGTTTGCAAATTTTTGCATTGTAAGAGTCACATGGGGGTTCCACAGCAATGGCTCTACATAAATTCAAGTTGTTGTTCTGTCGTTCATTATCTGGAATCATTTTTATCTCTAATATAATGCTTACCTCATATTTTTTCCTCCACACTTTCTGTGCCCATTGCTGAAGATTCTGCCAAGATAGGTAGGATTCAAATGCACTGTCCGAAGTCAGAACAGCATCCCGATGTGCTGCAGTATTATTTTAATGACAGAAAGTAATTTAAACTATCCAGAGTGACAATGTTCATTGTATATTGTTGTAATTTCATTTTTGCATAGGCTACATGTTTCCCACCCTCCATATGAAGAACGCTCAAGGTCACTTGCTACAAGGTGTACAATGAAAAGGATACAGAAGTTATTCATTCATCAACTTATCTTTCATTCTAGATGGCTACAGTCTCTGATTTGCATATTATCAAAAATATTTGAGCAACAGGTGAAGTTAACATCTTTACACTGCTGGTATACAACAGCTTCAAGAGTGATACTAACAAAATGTAAGACATCAGAGCAGAAGCTATTTGGCCCATTGACTATACACCACCATTAAGCAAGATCATGGATGATCTGATAATCTTCAACTCCGCTTTTCTGCCTTTTCTCTATAATCCTTGATTCCCTCACTAAGTAAAAATCTGGCTATCTCAGCCTTGAATATACTTAATGACCCAGCCTTGACTGCCCTCTGCACTACCCTCAGAGAAGAAATTTCTTAGTGTGAGAATATGCTCTCTGGTCTGAGGGTCAAGAAGAAACAATCCTTATGCATCTACCTGGTCAAATCCCCTAAGAATCTTGTATGCTTCAATAAGCTCGCCTCTCACTTTACTATATTACAATCTATTCAGCCTTTCCTCATAATACAGTCCCTCAATACTGGCATCAGCCCAGTGAACTTTCTGTGGACTGCCTCCAACGCTAGGATGTCTTTGCTTAGATAAGGGACCAAAACTGTTCATAGTACTCCAGCTGTGGTCTGACTTGAACCTTGCACAGGTTTAGCAAAACCTCCCTTTAAAATAATAGTCACTAATCCATTTTCCCTCCCTGCTAACGTGTTGAACTTGGATGCTACCTTTCTCTGATTCATTTATGAGGAACCCTAAATCTCTCTTTACTGTTATTTTTACAATGTTTCCCCATGAATTAATATTCACTTCACATTTTTGCACATTACATTCCATCTGCCAAGTTTTGATTTGTTCGCTCAATCTGTCTTACTAATAGACCGTTCGCATCTTCCTCCTTACTTCCCTATTTTGTATCATTCCCAACTGATGAGAGTACATCAATTTCCCTCGTCCAAATAATTAATACATATTGTAAATAATCGGGTTCAGGGCAACTATTAGCCTTTAGTCCCACGAGCTTTCCGAGTACGTTTTATCTAGTTTGAGTTGCTGTGTATACCTACTCTCCCTGTTTAGCCCATTGATTACTTAGTATTTTTGGAATATGATTACTATTCTCTACTGTGAAGACTGACACAATGTATTTATTCAACACCTCTGCCATTTCCAGGTTCTTCATTATCATTTCCCAAGTCTTGATCTCTAAGGAGCACATTGTTCACATTGACCTCTCTCTTCCTTTTTATATATCTAAAGAGGCTCTTACTGTCTGTTTTGATATTACCTGCTAGCTTGCACTCAAACTTTCTTTTCTCCCTCAATTATTTCATTGGTTATCTTTGTTGACTTTTAAAACTTTCACAATCCTCTGTTTTGTCACCAACCTTTGACATATTTCTGATTTACTTTTAATTTCATACTATCTTTAATTTTGTTGGTTAATCATGCTTGGCTTGTCCCTTTTCTAGAATAATTATTTTTCCCTGGGGTATGTCACTGTTGCGAACTGTGAACTAATTTCTTAAAGATCTGTTATTGTTCCTCAATCGTGTTTTCTGCTAAATTCCTTTCTCAATGTGCTCCAGTCAACTCTGCCCTCATCCGTATCTAGTTAGTCTTAGTTGAGTTTCTGACCCAAGTTTTTCATTCTCAAACTGAATGTGAAACTCTACCATGTTTCCTACACAACTACCAAGGGGATCTTTTAGTCTGACATAATTTATTAAACTTGTTTAATTGCACATCACCAGACACAGGATCTACTGTCGCATATTCCTAGGTCATGCAACAATATCAAAAGACATTCAAAGTTGAAATGGGTCCTTGTATAATTAAAAAAATTATTTGGAACATTCAAACCTGAAATCCTGATTATGAAACATGTATTAATTTTTTTGAGCAGATCATTGGTTATGACTGGAACTTTGCTAATACAGACTAAAAGCCCTTACAAACTGCTTGTTTTGTGCCACATAAGCACAATTCCATTTCATGTTGCAAAGTTCTGGGAATGTATATAAGCTCATCCTCAAGTTTCCTCAGCTAACTTGTTACAACACGCTTGTCGACACTGATCAATTTAATTAATACACACATCGATGTCTAGAGATAAAGGGTGTCATGCAGGATAGGATCAAGGGAGGTTGATACACTCAATTATTTCTGGAGTCTACAAGAATACAGCTGCTTGTCCAGACTCCACAAAGTACATAAATTACTAAAGTTCTTGGGTTTTTAATTGAACAAATTTCAATGATCCCTTTCAGGCTTATATTTCATCCCCATTATATTCACATCTGAAAGGTATTCATTATGTTTTACTTTTATTAACACCATGGGAAAACTCAAGTTCTTTGTTGACAATTATAATTATATTAAAAGAAATTCTACATTACCTTCAACAGAATACACATTAGATTCTCTTGTAGTCACATATTGTTCTTCAATAGCAGCTTCTCTCAGCGATTTTACCTAACATAGATATATGAAATGGTAAATCTCACACGTGCTTAGAGTTTCAGTTATTTTGTGGTGGCTTAAGCAATGCAATTTGTCAGAAATTTATCAAACCAATGGAGAAGAGTGGAGAATTTTGAACAACAAAACTGGCCAGATGAAAAGACTGAAGGTTGTGTCTGAAACATCTGGTGGAAGGTCTTTCATTTGGGCATATTTTAGAAGATTTACATAGAATCTTAGAGTCATACAGCACAGAGACAGGCCCTTCAGCCCAAACTAGTCCATGCTGACCAAAATGTCCATCCACGCTAACCCTATTTCCCTGTACTTGGCCCATACCCTTCTAAACATTTCCTATCCATATATTCATCCAAAAGCCTTTTAAATGTTGTTAATGTACCCGCCTCAACCATTTCCGCTGGCAGCTCATTTCATATGCATACCACCGTCTGCGTTAAAAAAGTTGCCCTTTAGGTTCCCACGTATTCTTTCCCTTCTTATCTCAAACTGATGGCCTCGAGTCCTCGATTGCCCAACCCTGGGAAAAAGACTGAATGTATCCATCCTATCCATGCCTCTCATGATGTTATACACTTATACAAGATCTCCCCACAATCTCCTATGCTCTAAAGAAAAAAAGTCTTAGCTTGTTCAACCTGTCTCTATAACTCAGTCTCTTGAGTCCTGGCAACATCCTTGTAAATTTCTTTTGTACTCTTTCCAGATTAAAAACATCATTCCTATAGCAAGGCGACCAAAACTGAACACAATACTCCAAGTACGGCCTCACCAACATCCTGTACAACTGCAACATAACTTCCCAACCTCTATACTGAGTAGTCTGACTGACAAAGGCCAGAGTGCCAAAAGCCTTTTTCGTTGCCCTGTCTACCTGTGACTCTACTTTCACAGAACCGTGCACCTGAACTCCAAGCTCCCTCTGTTCCACTACACTCTTTAAGGCCCTACCATTTACCATCAAACTCCTACCTTGATTTGACTTCCCAAAATGCAACACCTCACACTACATAAAACTCCATTTGTCATTTCTCAGTCCACTTCCCCAGCTGATCAAGATCCTGCTGCAATTTCTGATAACCTTCCTCACTGTCCACAATACCGCCTATTTTAGTGTCATCCGCAAACTTGCTAATCATGCCTTGTACATTCTTATCCAAATTATTGATATAGATAACAAACAGTAATGGGCCTAGAACTGACCCCTGAGGGACACCACTACTCACAGGCCTCCAGTCCGACAAGCATCTTTCCACTATTACCCTCTGCTTCCTACCATCAAGCCAACTGTGTATTCAATTTGCCAGCTCTCCCTGGATTCCATGCGATCTAACCTTCCACATGTGGAACGTTATCAAAGGCCTTACCGAAATCCATATGGACTACGTCTACCGCCCTGCCCTCATCAACCTTCCTGGTCACTTCAAAGAACCCTAACAATTTTGTGAGGCATGATCCCCATGCACAAAGCTGTGCTGACTACTCCTAATCAAACTGTCTTTCCAAATCCATATATGTCTTATCCCTCAGAACCTTTTCAAGTAACTTACCTACCACAGAGTTTAAGTTTACTAGTCTATAATTCCCAGGTTTTTATTTGCAGCCCTTATTGAATAAGGGCACAACATTCGCTACCCTCCAGTCTTCTGGGACTTTACCCATGGCTAACGATGATGCAAATATATCAGAGTCAGGGCTACCACAATTTATTCTCTAGCCTCTTGCAGGGTTCTTGGATATATCTGGTCAGGACCAGGAGATTTATCCACCTTCATACATTCTAATATGTCTAACACCTCTTCTACTGTGATGTGGGCTGGCCCCAAGATATTGCCACTAACTTCCCCATGTTCCCTAGTCTTCACGTCTTTCTCCACGGTAAACACAGAGGAAAAATATTCATTGAGCACCTCGCCCATCTCCTGCGGTTCCACACATACATGTCCACTTTGGTCCTTGAGAGGTCATATTCTCTCTCTAGTTATTCTTTTTCCTTTAATACACTTTGGAATCTCTTTGGATTCACCCTAATCTTCTCAGCCAAAGCTATCTTGTGCCCTCTTTTTGCCCTCCTGATTGATTTCCTTCTTCAGCAAACTCCTGTAGCCCCTATATTCTTCCAGGGATTCCCTTGATCCCAGCCGCCTGTACCTGAGCCATGCCTCCTTCTTTTTTCTGGTCAAAGCCTCAAAATCTCTTGTCATCCAGGGTTCCCTACTCTTGCCAACCTCACCCTTCACCCTCACAGGAACATACAGACCTTGAACTCTAGCTATCACACTTTTAAAGGCCTCCCACTTACCAGAGGTCCTTTTGCCTGCAAACAAATTACTCCAATCAACCCCTGCAAGCTCCTGTCTAATTCCAGCAAAATTCATCTTGCTCCAATTTAGAACTTGAACCTGTGGACCAGTTTTGCCGCTCTTCTTAACTATTTTAAAATTAATAGAACTATGGTCACTGGTCCCAAAGTGCTCCCCCACTGTCACCTCAGTCACCTGTCCTGCCCTATTTCCCAAGAGTAGGTCAAGTTTTGCCCCTTCCCGCGTAGGACCCACTATATACTGCTTGAGGAAACTTTTCTGAACACACTTAGCAACTTCTAACCCATCTAAAGCCTTAACACGATGGCAGTCCCAGTCCATGTTAGGAAGTGTTACAAGGTAGTTAATTTACTAAATTGTTCAAAAAAGCATCATAAAAATTATCCTAGATAATTTAACATCAGGATAAACTGTTACTAAAGTGCACAATTTTGTCATATTCTCATTTTCAATGCCATTAATACCACATTTAGGCTCAGAATCTTGGACCACATCAAGAGCCTTTGAAATAGATTCCCTGCATCAGATGGGAGGACAGGCATACTAATATCCTTGAAGCAGCTAATAGCACCAGAGCTGTGAGGCCACGTTAATCCGAAACCAGCTCTGCTGGGCCTGCAATATACTTAGGATGCCTGAGTTTTGACTTAGTAAAGCAAACCCTCTTCACCCAGCTTAAGGAAGGCTCTCCATCGAGAAAAGGCACTCCAATGAGAGAAGGACACAGGAAGTGTTTCAAAGACTCCCTGAAGACATCCCTCAAGAAATGCAATATAGATATCAATGCATGGAGACTCTCATTCAGAAGAAACTGACTTGGAGGAAACTCCTGTACTAAGGGACACAATCATTTCAGAGCACCCAGCAGCAACAGGAACTAGAGAGATTCCTAGGTGAACAATTGTACTTATTAGCGAGTGATTGCTGATGACGATGATGACTCCTCCTAAATACATGAATGAATATCTTTAATGCCATGGAGTTTGACAGTGCTGGTCTACATAAGATTATACATTCGCAAAGTTGTTTCATGAAAAGTTGAAGTTGAATAAATTCACTCCTTAAAATCAACGCAATCGCAAGCGCATTAAGCAAATTAGCAACAACTCAACCTCATTATCATGAAGTATTAACTGACTTTGTGGGAAAATATTTTGGTACTTGAAAAGCTCTAATTAAAAAGGATAATGCAACGTATGATCTCACCTTGCTAAACCTGAATAGCAATGATAGCAACAACCCAATTGGCAGAACCACGATAGTCGTAATCAATCCAGTAACTAGGGAGGTTGTGGAGACATCAATGAGACCTAGTTCAGCTGTGTACTGGGGGGAGGAAAAGGAAGGAAAAACCATTAACTGATCAATATGAAGCACTTTTTTGTCTGATAAAGATTAAGAGGTTAGTTAAGGTAAAAGTTGAGAACTCACTGGGAGATCTTCATGTTGACGCTTAAGTGTTAAATGAGGCTGTACATCTATCTTCACAAAGGAAAGTGATGTGAAGATTTCACTAACACTGGACAGGGATGTTATAGATAGGGTAGTAACAGATAACAAAGGCATGCTAAAAAGACTAGTATTAGAAAATAAACAAGCCAACTAGTCTGATGGAACATAGGTAACATTGTTGAAAGAAGCAATATTAGAAATAAAAGAGGCATTGGTAACAATCTTTTAATCTTCACTGAAATAAGCATTGTACTGGAGGACTGCAGGGTTGCTAATGTTGTACCACTGTTCAAGAAACATCAAGGACCAGTCAGCCTAACCTCAATTGTCAGGAATTTAATGGAAACCGTTATCAAAGATAAAATAAACTTTCATATGGAAAGGTCTCGTCTAATCCAGGAGCGCCAGTATATATTTGTTGAAGGTCAATCATCTCTGGCTAACTTGATTGAATTGTTTCACATGGCAACAGTGAAGATGGATCAAGATTGTGAAGCAGATATTGTATCCGCTATGTATGGACTTTCAGAAGGCATTCAATAAAGTATCACCAAGGAGGCTTATTCTGAAGATCGAAGCCATGGAACTGAGGGAAAATTAGTGATATAAATATGGAATTGGCTCAGAGAAAGGAGGTGAATGATCTGCTTTTGAACTGGGAAGCAGTTTGAGGCTTTCTCCATGGGCTAGCTGTGGAATCACTGTACTGTTAAATTTTAATAAACAACTTGGACTCAAAGTATATGATACAGCATTATTAGGTTGGAGATGATATGAACATAGCAACGTAGTTATGAGTTTCAGGATTACAAAGGCAGAATGGTGAAATGTTAAAGATCATGATAGATGGTGATAGATGGAAGTCAATGAGGAGAAATGTGAAGAGATGCACTTTGGTAGGACAAATATGGCAAGTCAGATATTATGAACAGTAAATTTAGCAAACTGTAAATGAAATAGAGTCATTGATTGCTATGCATATAAATCCTTAACTATAACGGGACAACTTAAGAAGGTGACTCAAAATTTACACAAGTTACTCGGCTTTACGAATACAGGGAGTGAGAACACAAAGGCAAGATATCATACTGCACCTTTACAAAGTACAGGTTAAGTCTCAGCTGGAGTACTGTGAACAATCTTGGGCACCACACTTGAAAAAGATGATGCAAAGGCCACAAGTAAACAACTAGAGACAGTTTACTGAGGTGTCGCCAGGGATGAGGACTTCAGTTATGAAGAGGTAGAAATATTTACACCTGATCCTCCAAATATTTGGAGGAATATTTCAGAGCTTTGCAGATCATAAAGTTTGTCCATAGTGAAAACCAAGAGACAGACAAAACGACCAAGCAAAGATAATTCTATGTGTCACACTTTACTGCAGCATTGACAATAATTCATCACTTTCAACTTACTCTGAGAATATGGACCTTAGTAACTGGTGTAAAATTCATTGTGCAATCACTACTACTCAGTATTCTTTACATGATTAAAGCCCAAATTGCAGTTAGGTAATATGATAGCCTACTTCCTTTGGCATTATGAAAGATGACCTCAATACAATGAAGTTAATGTGAAGAGATCGCTGTGTCAATCCCCTGTATATGCTATAAATTTATTCAAGTATTTGGGCAGCACTTGTTGAATAACACCCCCTTCATTAACATTCAGCTTGGTTTCTACCAGGCCCACTCATTACAGAGATAACAAGGTGTACAGCTGGATGAACACAGCAGGCTAAGCAGCATCACAGAAGCGGGAAAGCTGACATTTCGGGTCTGGACCCTTCAGAAATCATTCATTACAGCCTTGGTTCAAACATGGACAAAAGAGTTGCAATACAGAGGGGAGGTGACAGCTCTTGACATTGAGGCCATATTTGACCAAGTGTGAAAATACGAAGCCCTAACAAAATTAGAATCACAGGAAGGGGTTTGGGGGGTATTGGTAGCAGAAGCTCTCCACAGATTGGAGTCATATCTAGACAAAGGAAGTTTGTGTGGCTGTTGGAGATCAATCATCTCAGCTGCTAGTCATCTTGGCAGGAATTCCTCAGGGTAATGTCCTAGGCTCAATCATTCTTAACTGATCCACCAATGACCTTCCCTCCATCATAAGGTCAGAAGTGGGGATGTGCACTGATGATTGCATAACATTCAGCAACACTTGTGTTTCCTACAGCAAAATAAGTACTCATCACCAATCGTATAATTTCTCAGAAGTCTTGCGAAAAAAAAAACCTCCAATGTCCACAGAGACCTTTCAACAAATTATTTTTAAAAAAAACCACTCTGTACTTCTACAAATTTGAAATAAATCAATTTTTCTTCAATCCTTCAAAGCTTACATCCTCCAACAATATCATATATGAACTGTCTTTCTCACACCAGCAACTCTGAGGCCTAAGTTCGGAGGGGATCTGATTAAGGGAAGATGTCAGCATCCACTGTAGGGAGAATTCTGAAGACTTTTATAATCAATAATTTACTTTTGACAAGAGTATTTGCAATTCCATCACCTAGTCAGAGAAGAGATCGGAACTCTGCCAATGCCAAAGGAGATGATGAAAGCTATCACGCAGCAGGGTGAAGGAAGGAAAAACTTCTCTTCAATCAGTGAGCAGTGAGGGTTTGGAATGCACTGCCTGGAAGTGTGGTGGACGTAGGCTCAATTGAGGCATTCAAGAGGGTATTGGATGCTGATTTGGATAAAAATAATGTGTAAGGGTGTGGAGAAAAAGCAGAAGATTGGCACTAGGTAACAATATTCATTTAATGAGCTACTGCAGACATTATGGGTGAATGGCCAATCCTGAGCCCTAATACTTCTGTGATTCTGTGATATGGGAGAAATGATCCTTAATATTCCATTACAGACTCCTTTGATGTTAAGACATGAGTCAAACAAGGTTGTGTAATCATCCGCATTTGTTTTTAGGATCTTCCTAGCTGCCATCCTCATGATAAACCCTTTGCTGAGTACATCTTATTTATTGAATGGATGATGAACAATTTAATCTCAGATGACTCGAACCAAAAACTAAGATCACCTCAACTTCAGACAATGAGATTGAATATGATGACAATATTGTGGCAAGTGCTGTTATAATAAAGAATCTCCAGGGAATTGTTGATGTATTTACTGAAGTATGTGAGAAGATGGAATTCAATGTTTAGAACAGCAAAGACCTCCATTACATAGCTCCAAATACATATATAGCAGCCAAATGGTTTAGCATTCAGGAGGAGTTTCTGGAAAATGTTGAATACTTCCAATATCTTCAAAGTTATCTTTAACAGAAGGTTGGCATGGACGAAGGAATCCAGAATTACCTAAAATCTACTGGTTCTGCCTTTAGCTGAGGAAGTGAGTATTTGAAGATTGTAACATCAAAACTGAAACGAAGATCATGGTCCACCTTTCAGTCATGTCCCCTTCTTTACAGTGTGGGATGGAAACATGGACTGTATAAAAGGAGGCACTTCAAAACATTGCAACGAAAGGAGTTACATCACTTGTGCTGCCTGTGGAAAATCCTACATATTGGAGGTATGAAAACTGTGTCTTTTTATTTTTCTGTATTTTTGTTTGTGGAACGAAATGGGAAAAGAATTGTTTATAAAAACTAGGGATTACTGCAGATTTTGTAAGTAACTAAGTTGATCTCATGGCAAGTGCTGCTGCACAGCTATTGGCTCATCCGTCCAGTCAGAGCAGGGTTTGATTTCCTGAATGCTACCTCCCATGAGGCATAAGAGAAGACCAATGCACCAACACCAGTGTTCTCACAGATGCAGTCAACCCAAGTATCGAGGTTAAAATCAGCCGAAATCAGCTTTGGTTCGATAGTTCAGATATCAGATACCAGACTACTGAAGCAGGCTTTTTTCTCTCAGTTTTATGTGGTTAAAGCCACCATGAAGAAATGCCACATTGACATCAATCCCAAGGACACCACTGCCCTTAGCCAAACAAGGAAGTGGTAGAGTCTATGGGAAGGATCCCAGCACTTTAAGACCTAAGGATGAAGACGAAAAATGAAGCAGTGCAAAGAATAAGCCATTACTCAAGGCAATAATGTATGACCAGTGACCAGGGGCATAGATCATAGTGATCAGTAGGATTAAATTGGAGATGAGGAAAACACTTTTCACCCAGACAGAGTAAGGGGTCTGGAACTCATTGCCTTAAAGGGATGTTGAGACAGAAGCCCACACTCGTTTAAACAATATCTGGACATGCAGCTGAAGTGCCATAAGGACAGCAGGTACATGGGAACACCACTACTTGCAAGTTCCCCTCCAAGGCACTCCCATCCTGACTTGGAAATGTATTGTCATTACTATACGGTGGCTGGATGAAAAACCTAGAATTCCCTCCTTAACAGCATTGTGGGTCTACATGCAGCACATGAACTGTAACAGTTCAAGGCAGCGGCTCACCACCACCTTCTAAAGGGTAGTTAGAGATGGGCAATAATACTGGCCCAGCCAGCGATGCCCACACCCTATGAGTGAATAAGGAGGAAAGAAAGAAACCTTTAAGACTACAGACTAAATACTGTGAAGTAGAATTAGGCTGGTGACTCATCTTCCAGCCATCTTCTGGGCTATAAACCTTTTATGAACCTATTCTGTGACCAGACATCTCACATGACATGACAAAGCCTGCAGATCATGCATCAGCCATCTTTTGACTTCCTGAAGACAATCATTCTCACCTATGAGAGAGAGCCATTATTGTACAATAAAAGATTAAATAAAACAATAGAAATAAATTACTTTTCATTCGTGTTTCTTAGCTTTGCTCAGTTACCACACCTGAATCCTCTTAGGGAAATAAAATATATTAAACCCGCAAAGGGCAACTGGATTATTTACAATCTTGTCTTCAGTAAACAACAGTTGTTCCAATTCTCTAACAATGTCGGAATTTTGAAAAATATTTTGAAGACTTGGAAGTACAGACACTGAATGTCAGGCTAGGCTTAAGTAAACCCTCACTCAGAAAAGGAAGCAAGGAGTAGGATAAGCAGCATGAGGTAATCAGGCAGTAAATGAAAAGAATGGCAATACACATGCATGGCCAGAAGTAGATATTCAGGATTAAGCTGAAGAATGGAAAATCAGGGCACAAAAATAAATTGAAGAGAAAAATCTAAGAGGGTGTAATATTTGAACCAAAAACAGAATACACAGGAAATAGATGGTAAACTAATCAAATTCTGAAGAAGTAGCAGATTAATACTTTAGACGGACTCTTCATTAGATGGAGCGAAGTCAGAAATTAACAAGGTGCTATTTGAAGAATCTAAGTACAGAGAAATTCAAAAATGCACAAGCATGGCCACCATCACAACATTCACGGCCGAATTTCACTCGATGACAAACTGTACTTGTGTATTTTTGGACATAAGATGGGTTTGAAAGTTAGGTAAAACGTTTTACCTCCTCATTCTTCAGATAAGTCAGTATGGTATTCAGGCACATGTAACCCAACAGCAGGCAAAGGCAGACAGTGAGGCGTTGAGTATGAGTAAATGAGCTGTAAGATGGACGACTATACACTGATCCCCAAAGATGGAAGTCTTCCAGGTAGTCAGTTAGTTTGCTGTATAGAAGCTGTTGAAAAACAAAATGTTCAATTAAATAAAAATGTAATGTGTTTATAGAAGCATCTTTTGTACACCATGAGGTACATAAAAAATAATGCTGTAAATACTCAGGATGTTAGGGAGAATCTGTGGGGAAAGAGGCAGATTGTACATTTTAGTCAATGATCTTTATTCACAACTAGAAACGTTTACGGACTTACTCAGTTTAAAGCAAGTAGACAGACAAGGAAAAGGAGGGAGGAGAATTGACGATGAGGTGGAAAGCTGGGGGGAGTAAATGACAAGATATATTTTGTTCTGCATCTACTTAAAACTTGCTACATCTCTAGGGGCAGCCTTCCATTCAGTGAGGTGATGGCTTACCTCAGGGTGCTGTGCTGTGTAATAAGCTTCTGTTAAATGTGCTTGTAATGGACCAGGCAAACATTCTTCAAATATATCAAGGAGATAGCTCGAACCCCAGATTTTATATTATTTAACAGAATAATAGATTTTTTAAGAACTAAACAGCAACTGTTCCAATATAGTAACATTCCATAAACACACCCCTGGCATAAGCAAATTCAGTAAAATAGACTGTCTCATGTACAATGTTTCTCCATTCCAGGAGAAAAGAACCTCAAGAGAAAATTTCTGTACAAAGAGAGATATGGCAGCTTCCACAAGCAACTTTGAAGCCCCAACAATGACTGAAAGCTAAGCTAATATCGTGGTGCTATGGGAGCCTCACTCAACCCCTCCACGCTGCTTCTATTGTGTCAACTTTAAAAAGAAATTTCAAGGCCTCACAAGCTGTTTACATTATTGCCTTGGGAGAGACAGCTCGGTGCCTATGACTGAAAACCTCTCTTCAAAAAAAAGGATAAAGTACACCTTGTAAAGCCATAGCATCATCGCATGCTGTGGAGGCAGACAGTGGTCTGAAAAGATGCACGATTCATTCACCTTCTCTGGGCTTCTACTCGACCAGCAAAGCTTTTTGCTTCTGCTTACCTTTTCCAATGTCTTTCCCAAATAGTCAGTCAGAGGTCACCACCATCAGCAATGGCTCCCATTTATCAGTGTCCACTAGTTCACATCATGTTTGCAGGTGTCCTTGAAGCAGAGGTCTGGACATTCAGGAGGTCATGACAAGTGGCCAGTTTACTGTACAGAAGGACTTTGGGGATACATTATCATCTATCTGATGAACACGGTCAATTCAGTGCAGACATCGTTGCTAAGCAATGAGTATTTACCAATGAAGTTAGCTAACTTAGAGGCCCTGAAGAATGTTAAGTGATATCAAGAATGTATCTGAGATAACAAAGGTGGAAACTAACCAGCCTCTTCTCCTACCCAGCTTAGGTCATCTGAGTAACCCCACTATAGAGGAGTGCATTGAGGATGCAAGCTTGGAAAACTAGCTGGTTGATGTCATTGTTCCACGCTCCCATACCCAGGTTGGATAAAATAGTTGCAGCTTTTGTGAAATGACACATTGTTCCTGATTGTGAAGTCTGGATATGTGAAGTTGTTGTCAAACTCCAGTGTCACACTGTCAGTGCTGATAGATGGTGGTCTATGACTTTTGTCTTCGTGATGCTGACAGTCAAACCAAGGTCTGTACTGGTGTGAAGAGGTATTCCTCAGTGTGGAAGGTTAGCATAACATCATTAACATAAAGCAGATTTCTAATAAGGGTTCGATGCACCTTTGTCTTGGATCTCAGGTAAGCTAGATTAAACAGTTTTCTAGTAGCTCTGCTTTGCAAGTAGATCCCTCTGTTGATGACCTGAAGGCATGTAACAGCAGCAAAGAAAAGAATATGCCAAAGGGTGTTAGTCTCATGACATAACCCAAGGTCCAAATGTGGATCTCAAAGAATTCTGATGTTGTATCTTCACAACTGAGCCTACACATCACCAATGAAGTTAGCATTCTCCAGGGCCTCTGAATTGACTAAATGATGTAAAGGGTGTATCTGAGACAACAAGGGTAGAAAACATCCAGCCTTTCTCCCTCACTTATCTTGAACAGTTTCTCAGCTGAAGGGCCTCCAATCAGCTGTCCGAGTTTGAGAGCCTGCCGTGTCCTTAACTGGACAGTGAGGCCACTCCTGGATATTAATTGTCCATTTCAGGGAAGATCACAGATGAGAGAATGTTTCCCAAAGTGTGCAGGCTTTAGACTGGCATTTAAGCCTGACTGGTTTCCCAAGGGAAAACCCTGCCCTATCTGTAAGAAATACACATATAATGCTAATGAGTCAGCTGTATTTTCACCTTTGAGTCTAGCATCATGTCAGATACTGAAGCACATAATCTAGACTGATGTATCCTTAATGTGGAGGTGCTGGTGTTGGACTAGGGTGGACAAGGTCAGAAATCCCACAACACCTGGTTATAGTCCAATAGGTTCATTGAAAACACGAGCTTTCGGAGCTTTGCTCCTTCTTCAGGTGTTAGTGAGAGGTACCCAATCAGCACCCAATATAAAGGTAGAATATTTATCAATAGTAAGTTGCATGTAGAAAAATAATACATTACTCTTTTGAAGCCAAGCCCATGGGTGAGTGAGATTAATTCTCGTTCAACTTTTCCATCCCCTTCCTCGACCGCGAGCCAGCATTCAGCAGGAAAGAACCAGCATGTGCCATGAAGCAGGTCCTTGACAATAACGGAGGTGACATACCAGCTGGGTGAATGGCCACCATTGTTATGCCAAAGGTGAACCTTCCAAATAGAACCAAGGTTCTCTGGAATGCTAAAAGAAAAAATCTCATTAACCCCAAAAAAAAACTGTAAGACAGGCAGAGTGTGACAGCAGTCTGTTATTAAAGATACTAGTTCTGAAAGAGTTAATATTCTCATTCCATGACCTCCATTCAGGTTATAAATGTCACACACATTCTGGGATGGAGACAAGGAAGTCTACTCTAGCTTTTGGAAGGAGCAGGTGCATCTGTACCAGTTCTTAAAGGTCCCAGTAATTATATCTGACCAAATATAATTGATACCATGCGTTAAATCTCTTCTGTAGATACTCTGTGCTGGTGTATCTTCTATCACTAATCACTAGATAGGCCTAAGATACAGCAAAAACAAAGGAGGAGTGGAGGCAGCAAACTACCCCAAACAACTCTCACCCAGTTTACAGACTCGGGAATAATTGAATCTGGACTCGGAGATGTTATTTAGTTACCACATTAAAGTAACACATTCTCTTTTGGCTTTTTGCAGTGAGGTCAGTTCTACTACCAGACTTCACTAAACATAATTTTATATAAGGGATAGTAAGAGAGGATGTCTTCTGGAATGTTACAGACACAGCCTTCATACAGTTAGTCAGAGGCAGTCAGTAGTGAGACACAGAATGCTTCCAGCTTGCGCAGCAACACTGATCAAAGTACTCAGGCAACCTGTATATAATTTACAACAAAGCAGGAAGGGAGTTTGGAATATTGGCCCAGTGACAATGACGTATTTTTAAGTCAGGATGGTTTGTGGCTTGGAGGGGAACACACATGGGTGTTCCCATGTATCTGCTGCTTTTGTTCTTCTAGGTGGTGGAGGTCATAAGTTTGAAAGGTCAGATCTATCCTTGACTTTGCAATTAAGCTTGCTGACAAGGAGGGTGCCATTGTTGTCTGGCAGACTGACCTCTACGTTGCGGAGGCTGAGTGCCAGTTCTCAGATACATCCTCTCATCTCCCTCTATATCATGATCCCACCATTGAACATCAGGCTACCATGTCCAAAACTGTTACTAACCTTCTTCCCAAAATCCACAAACAGGATTGCCTGGGCAAATCCATTGTTTCAGTCTGCTCCTGCACCACAGAACTCATCTCTTCTGACCTCAACTCGATTTTTTTCTCTCCTTGTCCGGTCCCTTCCCACTTACATCCACGATTCCTCTGACCTTTACATCAGTTGCAGAATTTCCAATTCATGGGGTCCAGCCATCTCCTCTTCACTGTGGATGTGCAAACCCTTTACATGTCCATCCCCTATCAGGATGGTGTCAGGGCTCTCTGCTTCTTCCTGGAAGAAAGGCCTGAACCATTCCCATCCGCTGCTACTCTTCAACATCTGGCCAAGTTCGTCCTCATCCTGAACAACTTTTTCTTTTTAACTCCTCTCACTTTCTTCAGTTCAGGGCACCACATGGGCCCCAGTTATGTCTGCCTCTTTGTTGGGTATGAGGAACATTCCTTGTTCCAGTCCTATTCTGGCTCCCGCCCACAACTCTTCCTCTGGTATGTCAATGACATCATCAGTGCTGCTTCCTTTTCTCATCCGGAATTGGAAAAGTTTATCAATTTCGCTTCCAATTTCCACCCTGCCCTCACCTTCACCTGGTTTATTTCCAACTCCTCCCTCCTCTTCCTCAACATCTGTTTCCCTTTCTGGGGATAGGCTGGCCACCAATGTCCACTACAAGCCCACCAACTCTCTCAGTTATGTTGACATCCTCACACCCTGCTCCGTGCAAAGACTCTATTCCATTCTCTCAGTTCCCCCGTCTCTGTCGCATTTGTTCTGATGATGCTAATTGTGACAAGGGTGCCTCTGAAATGTCCATCTTCTTCCTCAACCAAGGATTCCCCAGTGATAAGGTCATCTTGTCCTTACCAACCAGCATCCACGTCCAGAAGATCATCAGCTGCCATTTCCGCCACATCCACCAGAATACCATCACCAGACATATATTCCCCTCCCCTCCCTTGTCAGCCTTCCGTAGAAGGTGTAACACCTGTCCCCTTGCTTCCTCCCTCCTCAGTATCCCAGGGTCCAAGCATACTTTACAGGTGAAGCAGCACTTTACCTGCACTTCACTCAATCTAGTTTGCTGCATTCACTGTTCACAATGTGGTCTCCTCTATGTTGTGGAAATGAAGCACAGACTGGGTGACTGCTTCACAAAACACTTACATTCTTTCTGCAAAAGAAGACCCTGAGCTTCCAGTAGCCGAGATAGTAGGAACTGCAGATGCTGGAGAATCCGAGACAACAAGGTGCAGAGCTGGATGAACACATTAGGCCAAGCAGCATCATAGGAGCAGAAAGGCTGACGTTTCGGGCCTAGACCCTTCATCAGAAATGGGGGAGGGGAAGGGGGTTCTGAAATAAATAGGGAGAGAGGGGGAGGCGGATAGAAGATGAATAGAGGAGAAGATAGGTGGAGAGGAAACAGACAGGTCGAAGAGGCGGGGAAGGAGCCAGTAAAGGTGAGTGTAGGTGGGGAGTTAGGGAGGGGATAGGTCAGTCCAGGGAGGACGGACAGGTCAAGGGGGCGAGATGAGGTTAGTAGGTAGGAGATGGGGGTGCGGCTTGAGGTGGGAGGAGGGGATAGGTGGGAGGAAGAACAGGTTAGGGAGGCGGGGACGAGATGGGCTGGTTTTGGGATGCGGAAGGGGGAGGGGAGATTTTGAAGCTTGTGAAATCCACATTGATACCATTGGGCTGCAGGGTTCCCAAGCGGAATATGAGTTGCTGTTCCTGCAACCTTCGGATGGCTGCCACTTTAGCACACCACCGTGTTCCCTGGCCAACATCTCTGTCTCAGGCTTGCAGCAGAGCTCCAGTGAAACTCAGCGCAACCTGGAAGAACAGCACCTCATTTTCCACTTGAAAACTCTACAGCCTTCTGGACGCAATACTGAATTCAACAATTTTTGGGCTTAGCTCTCTGGTGTCCTTACCCTACCTCCCAAACACCAGCCCTGTTATCACATAGAGACATAGAGATATACAGCACAGAAACAGACTCTTTGGTCCAACGTGTCCACGCTGACCAGATATTCTAAATAAATCTAGTCCCATTTGCCTGCATTCGGCCCATATCCCTCTAAACCCTTCCTACTCACATACCCATCCAGATGCCTTTTAAATGCTACAATCGTACCAGCCTCCACCACTTCTTCTGGCAGCTCATTCCACAGACACATCAACCTCTGGATGAAAAAGTTGCCCTTTTAAATCTTTCCGCTCTCACCTTAAACTTATGCCCTCTGGTTTTGGACTCCCCCACTCCGTGGGAAAAGACCTTGTCTATTTATCCTATCCGTGCTCCTCATGATTTTATAAATCTCTATTTGGTTATCCCTCAGCCTCCAACACTCCAGAGAAAATAGCCCCAGTCTATTCAGCCCCTCCATATAGCTCAAACCCTCCAACCCTGGCAACATCCTTGGAAATCTTTTCTACACCCTTTCATCTTTCACAACATCCTTCCTATAGAAGGGAGGCACGTGATCTGCTATCACACACAATCCATTGTTGCCACTAACAGTCCCCATTAATAGTCATTCATCCTCATAGCCTGACTGTTATCCAATCCTTTGTCTGTACAAATGTCCTCCTCTCTCTTTGAGCTCTATCCCCACTTATTATTTACTCATTACCTCCTCCTTCCACCCTATCTTCAGCATAAAAACCAACATTTTCCTCGCTACATCAGTTCTGAGGAAGGGTCAACAGACCCAAAACCTTAACTCTGATTTCTCTCCACAGATGCTGCCAGACATGCTGAGCTTTTCCAGCAATTTCTGTTTTTGTCCCCAAGTTCAAGATTCATCCACTAATGGAAACATCTTCTCAATAGCTATCCTGTTAATCCCCCACAGAATCTTACATGTTTCAATCAGATCACCCCCATTTCTTCTAACAAACAAAGGCTTAACTTGTTTCATTTTTTTTGGTAAGACAATCCCTTCATCCCAGCAATCAGCTGAGTGAATCCATTTTGAACAGCCTCCAGTGCCAGTATATCCTTTTTCTTACAAACATGGGGCCAAAACTATACACAATGCTCCAGAAGCAACCTCACCAACACCATGAACAGTTGTAACAAGACATCCCTGCTTTTCAGTTCCAAACCCTGAGCAATAAAGGCCACATCCCAACCTAACAGTGGACAGAGCTTGTTGTTTAGAAAGTTTAGATTTCTACAAATAAACAGTTCTGGTCAGCTCCTGTGTCAGACAGCTCAGTTTTTAAAGTGATTTAGGATTGATAGTTTTTACCTGCCATGTCTTTCAAAGCATTGTCAGAAGCAAACCAAACAGTTGTTGTTCAGGTACCCATCTGGCACAGTAGGGATTGGGCTACACCATCCAATCCTTGCTTCTTGCTAATTACACTGACCAGCAGAATTGGGAGGATGGAGGAACTGTTATTTAATGTAACATGACAAAGATTCAGTTCAAGAAACACTGATACCAATGGGTGAAACCACTTTGTCTCACTAAGCCAGTTCGCATTGCAAGAAAGTTTATGAAAAATATTTTTAACCTCTTATCAAGTAGAAGTACCTCATGATAAATGTATGTCTGGAATTCCTCTCAAATAATCGCTTCTCAGCATGAAATAACTCTCTTGTTTCAGAAACACCATCTTCTCCATGAAGTTTGATGTAAACCTGAAAGCAAGTTAATTATAAAAATAATCATAAAACTTGATTATCAATCTTAAAATAACAACAGTTCTGAAAAATTAGCTGTATTTCAGTTATGTTCTGTACACTCTTAGCAGAGCTGGGCAGCTCAGTTGGTAAGATGGCTGGTGTGTGGTGCAGAGCTAAATTAGTGAAGGTGCAACTGTTGCTCTGACTTTGAGCTCAGGTAGAAAGGACCTACTTCTTCACCCTTCCCCATTCTTGATGTAAGGTGGTGTACCACAAACTGTATAATCAAATGTTTCTCTCTTTTTAATAGAGAGAGATACCTATGGCATCTCATGGATTATGGTCGATTACTTGCCTAACTGTGTACTGATATAGACTCTCAAACAACTAACAGTCATGAGTTATTTAATTAATTATGAGTGTTTATTAATATTATGTGTTATGGTAAACTGCATGGTATAATACTTCAGTAGTATCCCATATAGATGAGAGTTCACCCCACATCACTGCCTCTGAGGGGCAACTGAAACCAAGCACATGAGGAGATTTCATGGTTTTTCTTCTTGTCTGTAGGGACGACCATGTGGCTATGACAGGGTAGCAAGACTCACAGTGATGTTGGAAGCCTTCAACTACAAGCATATGATTTTGACCTCACATGCAAATGGGGTGAGGTATAGGAACTATAAAGGATTCCACTTTATTAATATGCAGCTGATGTGTGACTAGGCTGAAACATATAAATGCCTGCTTCCTGGCAACAGCCACAACTTCTTCATCCTGAGCGAATGGGCTGTTACTTCTTTTGGTTCAAAACAAAGGACCAGAGACTGATTGCTTAGAGATAAACAATCCCCTCTCCTAGCCCCGGCTGATGATTCCCCTCTGATAACTTGATCACACAAGCACAACAGAACCATAACAAGTGCCAGGCTTCCACAAGGAACATTGTAGACCAGGCCATCAAAAAGATCAAGGAACAACTCTGCTGTCTGTAGCTGTGGGGAGAGCAACACTATAATCTCATAAAGTTTACTTTTAGATTGTGGTAGCCTGCTGCATCCTCCAGATTCCATCAGTTCTAAGGATTTAGCTATTGACACCAGGTAAACAGAAACCATCTCAGGAAGAGGAGGATGACGAAAAGGACAGGAAGACCAGAGGCCTCTATGCCTCTTTCAGCCTGCTTAGACTGTCCATAAGTGCCTTCTGAGACTGAGGTTCCATTCAAATGCTATCCTTTTAAAACCATTGTTCCACAATTCTACCCCTTCCACCCATCTTTCTCCTTCTGGTTTGGTCACTGCTCAATCATGCCTGGTCACTTACTATGCACAGATTCCAACTCTATACTACACTCAGATTTACAGAAAATGCCAGTATCCGAAATGATGGCTACAAATTTGAAATCAAGTGACAAAGAGCTTCTTCCTTCCATAGTAGATCCCACCCTTCCTCAAGAGGCTGAACTCACTGGCCAGGCAACAATTCTTGGGCAACTGAACACATAAAATCAGATTGGGAAGGTCTTGTGTAAAGGAAGGTGTGTCTGTGTGCTTGTGTCTGTGTGCGTGCACGGATGCCCGTGCGTGTGTGCACCCATATCTGTGCGTGTGTGTGCGGCACAGGTGTCTGTGCATGAGGGTGCGTCTGTGTGTGTGGGTGAGTCTATGCATGCGTGTGCATCTCTATGTGTTTGTGGAGTAATCAGATCGGGTATGATCTTATGAATGGCAGAGCAGGGTCAGAGGACCCAGGGTCACAAACAGGATGAGGGCAAATTGGAAATGTATCATAAGGCGGCATTATAGAGTCATCCTGAGGGTTCTAGTCGCGCTGCATGCAACTGTCTCCATGACAGCTGGCCTCATCATGCTAAATATGGTCATCTCCAAGAAATTTAGGAGATACAGGCGGTCCAACATACAAATTAGGAGCAGAAGAGGGTCACTGAGTCCCTCAACCCTGCTCTGTCATTCCTAAGATCATGCGTGATCTGATCATTCCACATTCCTGCCGAACTTTTCATGCTGTTGCTGATCAAGAATCTATCCACTTTTACTTTAAAAATGTTCAAAGACTTTGTTTCCACTGCCTTTTGAGGAAGAGAGATCCAGAGACGCTCAATGCTGTTTGAAAATATATTTCTCCCCACTGTATCTTAAATGGGCAGCTCCTTGTTTTTTTAACCATGACCCATAGTTCTAGATTCTCCTCTGAGAGAAAACATCGTTTCCACATCCAGCCAGTCAAGACCCCTTAAGATTTTATACATTTCAATGATCACTTACTTCTCTAAACTTCAATGGATATAAGCCCAATTTGTCAAACATTCCCATCCACTTCTGAACTGCATCAATATACTTACATCCTTACTTAAATAAGGTCATTACCAAACACATTACTCCAGATGTGACTTCACCAATATTGTGTAAAACTGCAGCATAACCTCTCTATAAACTTTAACATTCTATTAGATTTCCTAATTACTGCTGTATCTGCATAATATCTTTTTGTGATTTACACATTAGTACAGCCAGGCCCTCTGCTTCTCAGAGCTCTGCAATTTCACATCATTAAGACCACCTGATCTATATTCCTTTGTAGCTTCTATGTGCTCTTTTCACAACTTACTTTCCTAGCTATCTTTATATCATCAGCAATTTAGCAACCATATTTTCAGTCACTTTCTTCATTTCATTGACATAAATTATAAAAATTGGAGACCCAGCACTGATCCTATGGCACATCACTTATAACATCTTGTTAACCAGAAAATGACCCATTATGACCATTCTATTTCCAGTTAGTTAGCCAATCCACATTATTGTGCAGTTACGTCTCTGTATTAGCCATCAGATCATACTGATGTAGTTGTACTTGTCTTATCAATTTCCTTTTCTGTTCCAAATTCTACATGGATTCAGGTACACAGCCTTTGGTTTTGCCCTTTCATTGAATTTGGAACCTCTTGCCTGATCCCCATGATAACATCATTTCTTTTTTCTTGTTAACCTCATTGCCTAAGGCTTCAAACGTAATCTGACAGCCCCTTCTCTTGGCTGTTGAACTATTTGCTATTTTTCTCTTTACAGCAACTTACACTACTCATGGTCAACAGCAATTTCTGAGTGCAGCTCCTCTTTAAAAAGTGCAGGCTAGTTAGAACAGCCGCTGCCCAAACATACTGTTAGACCTCCTGTTTGATCTGACTGATTGCTATATGGAATCATGTGAAGCACAAAGATTAAATGCTGTCTGCTTCAGTGGGACTGGACATGGACTGCTCATGAATTGTGATTCAAACACACCAAAAAGAAAGCAAACTAATTTCCAGACCCGACAGTCAACTCATCACATCACCTCATTGATTCAAATATATCACAAGCCTGCACTATCCTAGTCAGGAAACCTTTGTCTGTTAATTATTCCTTCAGTCAAATAGTGCTTACCGACACTGGTCCTCAACTAAACTTGTTTCACAATTTTTACTCTACCTTAGGACAAAGATATACACAGAAGAATAATAAAATACCTTTGCAGTAGTCCCAGCTCTCGTCCTGAAGCCAGTCTCGACAATGATCTCGTATAAACACTGGTCAGTAGGAGTATTATCCTGCAATACTGTAAGTCCAGGTTTTGTCTCAATAGAAAAATCCATGCGTTTACACAAGATAACCAGCAGAATGTATAAGATAAGGGCAAATAGCACAGTGATGCAAGTGGCATAGTTTTCGAAGACACTGTCAAAACAAAACACAACTATGAGCCTCACTATATCTAATTGGAAACTGAATAAAAAGAGCATCATCCATTAACTCACTTCTCTCTCGGTGACAATACATTAATATTCTGCCTCTCCTCTTGAATATTTTTCATGAATGAAAAATCAAAGTGCCGAGATTTTTACAAAATGGTAAACTCAAATTTTGTATTAGAATTATATTTGCACTGTCTAAATCTCATCATCTTCCAACTACAGCTTTTAAAATAAGGACAGCAGTTCAAAGGGAAGTGCTTCTGAGAGCTCAACAATGGTTGTACATTGCTGCCCAAGATTGTAAAGGAAATCGACAAGTTGCACATTCATAAGGAATCAGATGGAATTCAAGGAGTTAAACTTATTGTAAGATCGAATTTCTGGAAGAAAGCAGAACATGTCCCCACAACATTACGTGGGTCTCTGGATTACTAGTCCAATGACAATAACTGTCCCATCGACTGAAATATTGTATATGCAGCACTATACATCTTTACTTGCAGGACAGTGTTATTTTTCACTTATGGTGGTATTCCAAACTGAACAATCTAATGATGGTGAATATTTGCATCTAATTACAGGCTTGATTTAAATATCTATTATTTAATTTACAAAATGAACAACAACAATCTCCAAAGCCAATGTAAGGAAATTCCCTGCATATCAATGCCTTAAGAAGGGTGCTGCAGTTTATTTTGGGTTTCAATCCATATTTAATTAGCAACATTTTGAAATGGATTATAGGCTGATTCTATTCATAGTGTATAAACTTATTAAATTGCTGTATGACAGAAACACAGAAAAAGCAGTACTCCGTACTTGCTCACCTGGTCTACAACACCCACCTGATAAAGGTCAAGATATCTGTGAATTGGACATCCTTCATCACAAGCTCCTTACGTGCAACTGTAAAAGTTGTCATGTGGTTGCAACTAATTACAAATAAATAATAACATAAAAGAAAATATATGCCATGATCTTCCAAAAGAGGAATGACAAAAAGAACAAAGACATGGTACAAAATCAATAAATATTGAGATTAACAATGTTGATCATGAGCGATAAAGTGTACGACATATATATTATTGCCTGTTAAGCTTGAGGGAAAATGTGATTAAATGATTACAGCATTATGCAGTGTTTTGAGACTATGTACAAAGCACAGGTTTAGCGTTAAATACTTTTAGCTGAAGCACACAGTGTTCTACATTAATATTTCCTCAAAAAATTATTTTTGACACTTTATAAAGCCACTTTGCAATGAAATTAAATGGTGCTAACTGTACTTGTCCTGATCCTATTTTCCTTCCATGGATAAATCAGAACAACGAAGGCATTTGTGGACCTTACCTCATCCGGATAGAGATATCTCCCCACCTTCTTGTTCTCCTGCTGCATTTTATAACTTGATTGCAAATGAATCAGAATTTACTGATTTAAAACAAAAACAAAGTTACTCGAAAAGCTCAGCAGGTCTGGCAGCATCTGTGAAGGAAACAACAGAGTTAACGTTTCGGGTCCAGTGACCCTTCATCAGAACGTTCTGAGGAAGGGTCACTGGACTCAAAATGTTAACTCTGTTGTTTCCTTCACAGATGCTGCCAGACCTCCTGAGCTTTTCCAATAACTTTGTTTTTGTTCCTGATTTACAGCATCCGCAGTTCTTTTGATTTTTACTGATTTAGAAGTGCACGAGCAAAAATCAGAGTATTTTAAAGGAACTCTGACTTTTAAACAAAAAGGAAGAGTGACTCGTATGCAAGTCACAGAAGCAATGGATCACACCATCAAGACTAATCATACCTGCAGTTTATATTCTCTGAATCTAATTCCTGTTGAGGTGAACAGCCATCAGATTTCCACTCTCGGTTATCATCCCAGTACAAACACTGGGTCCACTGAACGTTCACAGTATAACTCACATTATTGGCAAGGTAGGTATTTTTCGGTTTTCTATTATAGTTAGCATCTAAGAGACCAAGGTAATATGTCCCTACACCTGAAGAGAAGAGAAATTGGACTGAATCATTAAATGCAACTTCTAGCAGTTGACTTGAACTGTTAATTACTTTATCAATTCTTAAAACTGCAATGTTCCCATTACTTCACTTGACTTTTCAAAACTAACATATCTTACATACATACGGGTAGTTCTGCTATAACCTGTGTTTTATTAAAGCAAAGTGGCTGTAACACGATTGATGAATAGTGGATGCTATTTGGATAATGTGAACTTTCTGCTGTACAGGTATAGCGATTTCCTATGGCGATTTTCTATAGCATGAGGTCACGCAAGAACGCAACTATTGTGTTATAGAAGAATTACCTGTACACAGAAACACAGCTATGCCAAAGCACACCAAGGCTTTCTATTCAGTTGAACCTCAATCTTCCTTTGATACAATAGTCATAAAAATGCACTTAACGATTCTATGTTTGTTCATTACTATAGTCCTTATGATAATGTAAATCCTCTATCATTATATCATATGGACAGCGCCAAAGTTTGAATACACATCAGTCCATAATAAGGAGCAAATTACTGCAGATGCTGGAATCTGTACTGAAAATACCAAATGCTGGAGATCACAGCGGGTCAGGCAGCATTCATGGAGAGAGAGCAAATTAATGTTTTGAGTCTAGATGACTCTTCATCAGAAGATGAATCACTGAAACAGAATAATCCAATAACTTTGTAGAAAACTGACAAATGTATTAATAATGTCTCAGAAAATAGAACCAAAAAATCCTTCAACGATGGCCTGTGAACACAAAATACGTTCTAAATTTGAGTTATTCTGAATTAGTGGACAGGAGAGAGGAACTCAGCAAAATAATTAACATAGTAATAAGGAAAATGATGAAGCTGCAGGCTGATAGGTCTCTGGGTCCAGACAGAGTTCATCTTTGGGTGTCAACACAGATTTCCAACGAGATGCATTGGTGTTAATTTTCCAAAATTCTGCAGATTCAGGGAATTCCATCAGACTGGAAAGTAGCAAGTATAACACCTCTATTCAAAAGGGGAGGGAGGTAGAACGCAGAACACCATTGGCCAGTTTAGCTTAATGCCCATCATTGGGAAAAATGTCAGAATTGATCATTAAAGAGATTATAGCTACACCCTTAGAAAAACTGAAGGTAATCAGGAAGAATCAGCAAGGTATCGTCAAATTTATTTAAAATGTAACCAATTTATTGGAGTTCTTTGAAGAAGTAACAAGCACTGTGGATAAAAAGAGCCTGTAGATGTACTTGACTTGATTTTCCAGAAGACATTTGATAAGGTGTCACCACAAAGTTATGACAGGAAATAAAATCACATTGCATAGGGTATAACATATGAGGAGGAGAACTTCTTTCTCTCAGAGGTCATGTGACTTTGGACCGCTGTGCATCAAAAGGAGTGGAGGTATGGCCATTGATTTTTTTTTGTACAACAGAGATAGGTAAACAAGGAAATCAAGGGTTATAAGGGGTAAATGGAAATGAGGAATTCAAAACTCAAACAGGTCAGCCACAATTTTATTGAATGACAGAGGGGCCAAATAGTCTATCTGTGCTCCTATTTTGTATGTTTGCATGGTGTTAAACCTGTTCGTACGCTATTTCTCCATTTTTGTGCATTAATTATTATTCTCATTTTAAATAAGATGTTGGCTGATATTTAGCAGATCCTACCATTTGGTGACCTGTTTAGTTTCATGTGTACTTACATGTTGTTTAACTTGATTTAAATTTTAAAATAAAACTTCAAGAATGTAATTGCAATTAAATAAAGGAAAGTACAGATGTAATACAAACCTAGAAGTGATAATGCCGGAATAAATAAGTGTACTGTATCGCCAGCCCAATAATGGATTTGTTTCAGGTTGTATTTACTTGGAGTTGGTTCTTTGTTGAACCTGTAAAGACATTTGAAGCTAATGATTTTACTTTCATACATAAGAAAAATAGCTAACTTTTTCTCTCAAATTTGTGCTGCTCCGTGGCAATAAAATAAATACTGGCAGCATCTGGCCATGACTTTTTTTCACAATCTGCTCCCAACCCTCAGTCTTCACCACCTGAAAGGGAAAGGGCAGCAGGTGCTTTCCCCAGGTGAATTCTCCAAGTCACACTTGAGAGTATATTGCTATGCCTTCAGTGTCACTGAGATAAAATCTAAAATTCTGGAATTGCCTCCATAACAACACAGTGCTACTGCAGTAGGTCAAGGAGTCAGGTCACGGTCCGGTCAAGGGAAATTAAGGAAGCACAACTCAAAAGGTAAATACATCACCCACAACTCAAAGGTAAATGTTTCAAGTGAATGCAAACTCGACCATACCTCACTAGCAGCATGATAGGAAACACTTGCTGGTTAAGCCGAGTGAAGTTCACTCTTATCTGCAAAGCTTGCTGTATGTTTGCCAGTGTCACTGGCAAGATATGAACATTCATTTGCGTACGAAGTAGCAAGTATACTGAAAACTGTTCCTGCTGCAAACGAGAAATCCATATTTTACTACAGGTTTAATCAAAAAACATCAGGATACTTTATTTTCTCGCTATAGCAATTGAGCATATTTATCACAATTCACATTAAAATCTTGCTTTGTAATAAACCATACTTCTAAAAATAGGGGATTGTTGAGACTGCTCATTAACATGTTGCAATCTATACTCTGGCCTGCAGACAACACAGTTGATCACCTATCACTGCACCTGACCTTGGATACAACAAGTTGCAATGTAAGTTGAGGTGCTTAACAAAAGCAAGATTTTTTGGCATTGAGAGAAGGGGATATCAGAAAAGACACCCTACCTTAAATTCAGTTCGTTGTCTGGACCCACTTAAGTAGTGAATATTTTAAAATGGGACAAACAAAGTCAGGACGAAACACAACACTGAGTTTGAGGACTTTTTTCCCCCTAAGAAGGTTGTGAATCTTTGGAATTCTTCACCCACAGAGGTCACTGGAAACTCCGTTGTTGAGTATAATCCCCCCTGACAATGACAGATTTTTCAGCTGTTAAAGAATCAAGGGATATGGGAATAGGGTGAAAAGGTCATGGTGAGATCAAAGACCAATTATGATCTCACTGAATGGTGGAGCAGGCTTAAACAGTTTTTTCAAACCCCCTTTCCTTTTTTATTTCATTGGGTGAGGCCATTGCTGGCAAAAGGGAGCATTAGTTGTCCATTCCTAGTTGCCACTGAACAAAACAGTTAGCAAGGTTAGAGGACAGATCAGAATCATTACATTGTGAGAGTCTGGAGTCATGATGGAGACCAGACCAGACATAGATTGCAGATGCAAAAAGAGAAATTGCTGGAAAAACTCAGCAGTCTGTCAGCATTTGTGGACAGAAATCAGAGTTAATGTTTTGGGTCAAGTGACACTTCTTCAGCAGATGTCCTTTTCTATTAGAGACAGAAAAACTGCAGATGCTAGCATCCAAGGGAGACAAACAGGAGCGGGAAGAACACAGCAAGCCAGGCAGCATCTGGAGGAAAGGAGCAGTCAGCATTTTGGGTATAACCATTTTGCTCCTTTGCTCCAGATGCTGCCTGGCTTGCTGTGTTCTTTCAGCTTACTGTTTGTCGTGCTTTTCTAAGGGGTTTTTATGACAATCAATGGTAACCTTTATTTGCCAGATTTATAAAGTGAATTCCACCAATTTTCAAAGTGAAATCTGACACCATATGCCCATACATTACTCTGAGCATCTACATTAATGGCCCAGTAACATTACCATCACACCGCCATCTCCTCTACTCATATTCTTAATTCATATATTCTTAAGAATGCTTTTGGTTAACTTAAGACAGTCACTATCAATTGAAATGGTAGATAAGAAACAAGCGAGTTGTGATCAAGTTAATACTTCCATTCTTCCCAATTTCTTTAGAGGACATTCCTGTTCATTTAATATTGAATACTGGAAAAGTAGTACAACAAATTAAGAGACAGCTGAGGGGTTCAAGGTGCTGGAGGTGAAATAGAATTCATGTTGTTAGCATAGATATGGAACATGATGTATTTTTGTATAATATTACCACAAGTGACAGCTTTGAATGTGAAACATAATGGAGCCAATAATACATCCTTACGATTGGTAATGAAATGAAAGTGGGAAGCCATTGCAGGTGATTCTCTAGCCAAAAGATAGATAAGAATGGAACTGAGTTAGGACGAGAAAGGATAGGTTTTCATGGCCACAGTCATAAGAAACACCATTTGTGACTTCAACAAGGACTGTTTTGACACTATGGCTGGGTCAGAAACCTAGCTGGACAGATACAAATGATTTATTATAGGAAAGCATCAACACTTAATTGCAGAAGAAAGGTAGGTAAGGAAGGGGTGCTGTGGTTTGGTCCAAGTGTAGGGTTTTTTTGAAAGGATGATAACAAGATAATTGCAGGGACAATCTTAGTACCTCAGTAAAGGGAACCATTAGCATAATAACTAAAATGTAGCCCGGTAAGGGAAGTTGAGTGGCCAACAGTTCAATTAGAATGAGGTCAGGGCAATAGGAGGTGGGTTAAAACATTGAGATGAGGCCAGAGAAAGCACTGAATACCAGCTGTCGCTCAGTTGGTACTACACTTGAATCACACGGCTCCACGTTCAAGTCCAACGACTGGACTGGACAACAATCATCAAGAATGATACTCGAACTGTGTATGGGGGAAGAGCTATTCTATCAGAAGCGCATGTCTCAGATGAAACGTTAATTTAAGGCCCTATTTACCTGTAAGGGTGAATGTAAAATATCACACATTTTTGCTCTCCTTATTTAAGGAGATGTAAATGATGTAAATGCATTTGAGGCAGTTCAAAGGTTTACTAGATTGATACCTGGAATGTGTGAGTTGTCTTATGACAATACGTTGGACTCACTGGGCTTGTTCCATCTGGAGTTTAGAACAGTGAGGGGGTAACAGAATTTAAGTTGCAAAGGTCCTGAATGATCTCGACAAGGTGGATGTGTGAGGTTGTTTCATCTTGTAGCTGAGTCCACAAGTAGAGTGACACTGTTTTATAATTAGGGTCTGCCCTTTTAGGACAGAAATGAGAAAAAATCTTTTCTCTCCGAGAGTTGTACAACTGGGAACTTGCTGCCTCAGAAGTGAGGTCATTGAATATTTTTCAGCTAGTGGGTAGATAGATTCTTATTAGGGAAGGAATCAAAGGTTATCAGGATAGGTGGCAATGTAGAATACAAATCCCAAACCGATCATCCATGATCTTATCCAATGGCAGAACAGGCTCAAGGGGCCAAATGGCCTCCTTCTGCTCCTATTTTATATGTTCTTGTGTTCATGAAGTAAAGCTGGGAGTTACCTCTGGAGTCAGGGACAACATTTAGCCCTCAATTAACACACAATGCAGGTTATCTGGTCATTATCAGATGGTTGTTTGCAGCAGTTACACAGCATGTAAACTGATTGCTGTATTTCCAAATTCTAACAGTGAGCACATTTCAAACATTCTTCTTTGGTAGTAAAGTTCTTTGAAGCATCTGGTGGTCATCAGAAACATTTACATCAATGCAGGCTTTTCTTTCTTTATGACAGAAGATGGCATCTACAAAATGACAACTTCAGCATGAGGGAAACTTGGATTTTTTTTGCAAATTTTGTCCCAGTATGCAAGAAGGATGGGATACTCCAGAAACTGAATGGCCAGAAACTGAATGGAGAGTCTTTTGTCATGAAAATATCCATGACCTCTTCATACATACCAGCAAAGATGATGGTGGAAGAGGCACTGCAGAGTGGTTTAACAAAATTCCCACTATCTGTCCTATAAATCATTATCTTTGCACTCCTCGATGATATTTGAAAGGTGAGTAGTTTCGGTGAAACACACATTGCTGGATAATGTCATAAAATGGTCTAACAAGAAATGGATTAAACCAATTTCTTATGTTTGTGCCCTTTGGACGGTGGGATCAGAGCTGAGGAGCATACTGGGGAATGATTAGGCTGAGAAAGATTAATAGTAATGGATGACAAGGGCATTGAAAGCAGTAGACAGAATGCTATTTAGCAAATCAATAGCTATCAAGATGAAATAAGGCCAAAGATAAAATTGCTGAGAAATTGAAAGAGCAGTTCATGGAGGACAAGATTTTCTCTGATTGATCTGACATTAATGGGCCTGGGGAGGGAGAAGTGCAATATACCTATGATTGCTGATACCTTTTGGGTAGGGATAGGAAATGGGCGAGAGATGCTGCTTCTGACAGCTTTCAAACAACCCAGCGGGACACGTGCACTGTTTCCTGCCAGGGATATATCTGTGGTACCCGTTACTAAACAATCTGAAAGCAACAATATTAGCTCCTTGGGTCAGGTACTAAATGATGCTTGACATCTGTGAAATTATACACCAGCAAGAAGTTAACTTCACAAGAGAGAAAATAAAGTGATATGAAAAAGAAATCATGTAATAACTTAAAGTTCCATTTGGACTGAGGGCTACCTCATACAACACGCCAGACTGGAAAGTCTAAAATTTTGAGACAGTAATTAGGCCTTGAATTATTAACCAGTAAAATTAAAATCATGGTGAGTATCTAAAGAACCCTGCTATAAAGAATAAATGGAGTGAGAACAGCACATGGTTTCAAATTAACATCTTGCTCTGTAAAAGAGACCACAGCCAGTTACTGTATAGGCTCACACATATGAAATGGGTACTTGGATGGGTCCAGAATTACACATCAAATCACATATTGGCAAAACTCAGCTTTCAGAAGATGAGTAAGGCAAATGGAAGTTGGTCTTCATTTCAAAGAGAATGGAGCATAAAAATAGGAAAATCTTGCCAATACTACAAAAGGTACCAGTCAAACCACAGCTGGAATACCGTGAACACCTTTGGTCTTTCTCTAAGGAAAGATATACAGTAATTGGGGGCAGTCCAAAGAAGATTCACCAGGCTGATCCTGGATAAGGAGGGACTGTCTTATGAGGAGAGGTTGAGTAGGTTGGGCCTATTCTCATTAGAATTTAGAAGAATCAGGGGTGACCTTATTGAAACATATAAGCTTCTCAGTGGATTTGACAGAGTAGATGTGGAAAGGTTGTTTCCCCTTGTGGGAGAGTCTAGGACTAGAGGCATAATCTCAGAATAAGAGGTCACTCATTTAAGACAGAGATGAGGAATTTCTTCTTGCAGAGGATAGTGAATGTGGAATTCTTCACTACTGAGGGCTGCAGAGGCTAGTCATTATGAATATTCAAAGTTGAGATAGACGTATTTTAAATCATTAACGGAATCAAAGGTTATGAGGAAAAGGCAAGGAAATGGAGTTGAGAATGATCAGATCAGCTGTGATCTCACTGAATGGCAGAGTAGACTCAATGCACTGAATGACATACTTCGGCTCCTACATCTATGGTTTTATGGTGGGTGAGGGACAGAATAACAGAGAGAAAGGATTTAGAATCAGGATGTCATGTTACCACATGTATCACCCATCACAGGAAATAACCGAAACTTAAAAACGTAGAATACAAATAATAGTTCTATTACTAATGAAACTTACAATTGCGTCCTTCCTTTTAAACTCAATTAGAATTGGTGATTTGAGCCCTTTTACTTTGATTTTTCGCCTGTTTGTGCAGTTATACAGAGTCAGGTCAGCAACATCACCATTAATCTACAAAGAGGAAGGTACAATAGAAATGAACAGTCTCAGACATCATCACAATAATACCAAGCAAATAAAATGTACAGCTCAAGTTTAATCAATGTAATATATCAGTACAGATGAGCAGAACTCAAGATAAAAACATTTTATGGTTACAGCTGTTCACATTTGTGAGAGGCAAGTGGAATTATTGGCCAAATTTTCAGATCTGCATTGGAGCCCCTTTATCTGACACTGACCATACAAAAAATATTGACTTATCTTCAACCAATTTTTCTGGTTATTTGTTTGGTGCAGGATCCTTCCAAACTCAGTCCTCAGATTGAGCTGAATGGGTGGGTCAGAGGTGTGTTCAGAGTGGAGTCAGTAGGTCAGGGAGGTTGGAGAGAATCAAAAGACAATGAGGTTTTGAAAGACTAGAGGGGGTTGGAGGGTTTGAGGTCATGAGGGAAGTCGAGAGGCAGATCGAGTGAGGATTTTGGCATGGGGGGGCGCAGGGTTAGAGGTATTTGTTGAATAGTCACCCAGAAATTAGACATGCTTTTAATCTATCTAACATTTCCTGGTGTCTATACAGGAAATTAAAATCAGAACTTCTCCTAAGTCTCCGATTCAAAACTGGAAGTGGAAGTATTCATGCAGGGTTCCAGGGAGTTGGTCACAGTCCAAGGATACACAGTAAACCATTTAAGACTGAGATTAGGAGAAATTCCTTCACCCGAATGCTGAGCCTGTAGAATTCTCTACCACAGAAAGCAGTCCAGAGCAAAACACTGTACGATTTCAAGAAGGAGTTGGAAATAGCACTAGGTGCTAAAGGGAACCATGGATGTAGGGGGAAAAACGAGAACAGGCTACTGAGTTAGATGATCAGTCATGATCATTGTGAATGGCTCAGCGGACTCTAAGGGCTGAATGGCTGACTCCTCATCCTATTTTTATGTTTCTCAAGTGCTCCCCATACCCTTGAACTCCTTACAAGATCAAAAATCTGTCTGTCTTAAACATGTTCACCACGGCACAATCACAACCCCCTGATCGAAAGATTCAAAACAGTGAGGAAAATTTTTATATTTCTCAGTCCCTCAGGATTATCCATTTATTCTAAAACAGTCCTTCCTCATAATCTTGACTGTGATAGTGAGGTAATCAATCATTCTTCTAAACCTCAGAGAATTTACACCTAATTTACTCAGTCTCTCATCAACAGACAACCTTCTCATCCCAAGGACAAATCGAGCAATCCTTCTCTGTACTTTATCCTTATACTCCAATGTCCTTGCAATTCTTGCATGCTAACTTTTGTGTTCCTTGTATGAATACATCCAAGTCTCTTGAAACAAAATCATGAACAAGTTTGATGCCGGTTAAAAAATATTCCAATTTTCTAACATTAAGACTAAAGTAAACAACCTCTGAAGTGTGAATTATATTCCTCCTGTTACCTTGTTGCTTAGTTCCCTGATGAATTACTCTTCGCAGCCTTTTGTGTCTTCCACACTGTTTACATTCCCATCTTGTATCATCAATAAAAGTGAAATGTGTTACTCTCTGGTTCTTTATCAATGTCATTATAGATTGTAAGTAGCTGAGTCCTCAGCACTCACTAGCTCAGTCTGGCAACTTGAAAGTATCCATTTATTTACGCTTTCTACTTCCTGTCCAATCCTCTATGCATTCCAAAAAAAAATCACTCCCAACTCCATCTTGCTTACTATACTTTTGAGTTTTGCTGGAAATCCCAGTATACTACATCTACTAGTTCCCCATTGTCAACTCTACCAATCACATACTCAGGAGAGAATACTAAATTTGTGAAATATGATTATCCTTTCATAAGCACTTGTTCTAACTACATAGAGATAGTAGGAACTGCCGATGCTGGAGAATCTGAGATAACACGGTGTAGAGCTGGATGAACACAGCAGGCCAAGCAGCATCAGAGGAGCAGGAAAGCTGACATTTCGGGTCGAAACGTCAGCTTTCCTGCTCCTCTATGTTCTAACTATATTGTGCTTTTCCACGTGCATTGCTAAGAATTCTTTCATAATAGCTTCTAGCATTTTCTTGATGACTGATGTTAAACTAATGACCTGTGCTCAGTTTTTTCTCTACCTCTTTTCTTGATGTGGAGGTGCCGGTGTTGGACTGGGGTGGACAAGGTCAGAAGTCACAGGACACCAGGGTTAGAGTCCAACAGGTTTATTTGAAATCGCAAACTTTCGGAGTGCTGCTCCTTTGTCAGGTGAAGTGAAGAGAAGCACACAGGCACAAAATTTATAGACAGAGGGATCAAAAGGTGGTACAAATGGTGTGAGCGGAGTGTTGACAGGCTGAGTAAGAAGTCTCTGCAGGTGATTAAAAAAGACAGTGTGAGTAAAACACTTTTGATCAGAGACTTATTATTCAGCCTGTCAACACTCCACTCACATCATTTGTATGATCTTTTGACCCCTCTGCCTACAAATTATGTGCCTGTGTGCTTCTCCTCAATTCACCTGACGAAGGAACAGCGCTCCGAAAGCTTGTGATTTCAAATAAACTTGTTGGACTATAATCTGGTTGTGTGACTTCTGATTCTTTTCTTGAATAGTGGTTTTACATTTGCTAACTTCCAATCTATGGAGATCATTCCACAATATTTGGGATTTTCGAAAATTGTGGCCTATGGACGTAGTATCTCTTTAGCCATTTCTTTTAGAATGTAGGTCCTCCACTGCTGGGGATTTGTCTGATTTCAGTCACTTGAGTTTTTCCAGTACTTTTTCTCTGCTGATATTAACTAATTTAATTTTCTCAATCTCACTGGCCCCTAGGTTACCCACTATTTCTGACATGTAACTTCTATCCTCTGCTGAAAATACAGACATGAAACATTTGTAAAACGTCACTGCAATTTTCTCATTCACAATAATTTCTCGTCTCTGCTTCTAAGAAACTGAAGTTTACTTCAACTATTTTTGTCCTTTTTTACACTTGTCGAATGCCTTACAATTTGCCTTAATATTATTGGCTATTTTACTCTCATGTTCTACATTGTCCCTTTTTTCAACTTTGCAATGCCCTTTGTTGGTTTTTAAATCATTGCCAATTCTCAGACCTACTACTGTTCTTTACAATAATGGAAAATTCTCTTAATCCAATATTATACTTAATCTCCTTCGATAGCCATTGACATATTTCTCATTGAAGTTTTGGCTTTCAATTGAGTGTATTTTTTTGAACATTTTGAATTGCTTAAGTGTGCCCTACCTTTTTAGCCCAAATACCCAATCAACTTCAGCCACTGCTCCCTTATACCTATATAATTACTTTATTTAATCTTAAATTTAAGATTGCTTTCTGATTAGACTATGTCATTTTTAAACTTAGTACAATTTCAATTAAATCTAATCACTAATTCCCAGGGGATTTTTTTACTATGATATTGTCAATTAATTCCGTGTTATTGTACAACACTGGATCAAAAAGAGCATTTACCTTGATTGATTCAAAAGCATTCTATAAATTCGCCTTCTGGACTACCTTGGCCTATTTGTTTGGCCAAGTTTAAATGATGTTTAAACTTCCACAGAGATAGTAGGAACTGCAGATGCTGGAGAATCCGAGACAACAAGGTGCAGGGCTGGATGAACACAGCAGGCCAAGCAGCATCATAGGAGCAGAGAGGCTGACGTTTCGGGCCTAGACCCTTCATCAGAAAAGGGGGAGGGGAAGGGGGTTTTGAAATAAATAGGGAGAGAGTGGGAGGCGGATAGAAGAGGGATAGAGGAGAGGATAGGTGGAGAGGAAACAAACAGGTCGAAGAGG